CTAAATAGACCCATAACTGAAACAGAAATTGAAACAGTAATAAAGGCCCTCCCAACAAAGAAAAGCCCAGGACCAGATGGATTCACTGCTGAATTCTACCAGACATTTAAAGAAGAACTAATCCCATTTCTTCTCAAACTATTCAGAACAATCGAAGAAGAGGGAATCCTCCCAAATTCTTTCTATGAAGCCAGCATCACCTTAATCCCTAAGCCAGAGAAAGATGCAGCACTGAAAGAAAATTACAGACCAATATCCCTGATGAACATAGACGCAAAAATCCTCAATAAAATTCTGGCCAATAGAATACAACAACACATCAGGAAAATCATCCACCCAGACCAAGTGGGATTCATCCCTGGTATGCAGGGATGGTTCAACATTCGCAAATCAATCAATGTGATTCACCACATTAACAGACTGCAGAAGAAAAACCATATGATTATCTCAATTGATGCAGAGAAAGCATTTGATAAAATTCAACACCCTTTCATGATGAAAACTCTAAGCAAATTGGGTATAGAAGGAACATTCCTCAATATAATCAAAGCAATTTATAAAAAACCCACAGCCAGCATCCTATTCAATGGGGAAAAGTTGGAAGCATTTCCACTGAAATCTGGCACCAGGCAGGGATGCCCACTCTCACCACTGCTATTTAACATAGTTCTGGAAGTTTTAGCCAGAGCCATCAGACAAGAAAAAGAAATCAAAGGAATACAAATCAAGAAGGAAGAAGTCAAACTATCCCTCTTTGCAGACGATATGATTCTGTACTTAGAGGATCCAAAGAACTCTACTAAGAGACTATTGGAACTCATAGAGGAGTTTGGCAAAGTGGCAGGATATAAAATCAATGCACAAAAATCAACAGCCTTTGTATACACAAGCAATGCCATGACTGAGAAAGAGCTGCTAAGATCAATCCCATTCACAATAGCTACAAAAACAATCAAATACCTTGGAATAAACTTAACCAAGGACGTTAAAGATCTCTACGATGAAAATTACAAAACCTTAAAGAAAGAAATAGAAGAGGATACCAAGAAGTGGAAAAATCTTCCATGCTCATGGATTGGAAGAATCAACATCATCAAAATGTCCATTCTCCCAAAAGCAATTTATAGATTCAATGCAATCCCAATCAAGATACCAAAGACATTCTTCGCAGATCTAGAAAAAATGATGCTGAAATTCATATGGAGGCACAAGAGACCTCGAATAGCTAAAGCAATCTTGTACAACAAAAACAAAGCCGGAGGCATCACAATACCAGATTTCAGGACATACTACAGGGCAGTTGTAATCAAAACAGCATGGTACTGGTACAGAAACAGATGGATAGACCAATGGAACAGAATTGAAACACCAGAAATCAACCCAAACATCTACAGCCAACTTATATTTGATCAAGGATCTAAAACTAATTCCCGGAGCAAGGACAGTCTATTCAATAAATGGTGCTGGGAAAACTGGATTTCCACGTGCAGAAGCATGAAGCAAGACCCCTACCTTACACCTTACACAAAAATCCACTCAACGTGGATTAAAGACCTAAATCTACGTCCTGACACCATTAAGTTATTAGAGAACATTGGAGAAACCCTTCAAGATATTGGCACAGGCAAAGAATTTTTGGAAAAGACCCGGGAGGCACAGACAGTCAAAGCCAAAATCAACTATTGGGATTGCATCAAATTGAGAAGTTTCTGTACTGCAAAAGAAACAGTCAGGAGAGTGAAGAGACAACCAACAGAATGGGAAAAAATATTTGCAAACTATGCAACAGATAAAGGGTTAATAACCAGAATCTACAAGGAGATCAAGAAACTCCACAAAAACAAAACCAACAACCCACTTAAGAGATGGGCCAAGGACTTCAATAGACATTTTTCAAAAGAGGAAATCCAAATGGCCAACAGGCACATGAAAAAATGTTCAAGGTCACTAGCAATCAGGGAAATGCAAATCAAAACCACAATGAGGTTTCACCTCACCCCGGTTAGAATGGCTCACATACAGAAATCTACCAACAACAGATGCTGGCGAGGATGTGGGGAAAAAGGGATACTAACCCACTGTTGGTGGGAATGCAAACTGGTCAAGCCACTATGGAAATCAGTCTGGAGATTCCTCAGAAACCTGAATATAACCCTACCGTTCGACCCAGCCATCCCACTCCTTGGAATTTACCCAAAGGAGTTTAAATTGATAAAGAAAAAAGCGGTCTGCACCCTAATGTTTATTGCAGCACAATTCACAATAGCCAAGACCTGGAACCAACCTAAATGCCCATCAATGGTAGACTGGATAAAGAAATTATGGGATATGTATTCTTTAGAATACTATACCGCAGTAAGAAACAACGAAATCCAGTCATTTGCAACAAAATGGAGGAATCTGGAACACATCATGCTGAGTGAAGTAAGCCAGTCCCGAAAGGGACAAATACCATATGTTCTCCCTGATCGGTGACAACTGACTGAACACCAAAAAGGAAACCTCCTGAAGTGAAATGGACACTATGAGAAATGGTGACTTGATCAGCATAGCCCTGACTGCTAATGGACAACTTAATACATTATCCCTCATAGTATTTTTTTTTTGTCTGTTCTACTTAATATGACTGGTTTAATTCTGTAATTATCACACAGTTATTCTTAAGTGTTGAAAATTAACTGAAATGTGATCCCTGTTAAACATAAAAGTGGGAATAAGAGAGGGAAGAGATGTATAATTTGGGGCATGCTCGGGCTGACTTGCCCCAATTGGTAGAGTTGGAAACATACTAGGGGATTCCAATTCAATCCCATCAAGGTGGCATGTGCCAATGCCATCTCACTATTCCAAGTGATCAATTTCAGTTCACAATTGATCATAATGAAAGGACTAAGAGTCAAAGGGAGCACATAAACAAGTCTAGTATCTGCTAACACTAACCGATAGAATAAATAAAGGGGAGAGTGATCCAACATGGGAAGTGAGATACTCAGCAGACTCATAGAATGGCAGATGTCCTAAATAGCACTCTGGCCTCAGAATCAGCCCTAAAGGCACTCGGATCTGGCTGAAAAGCCCATGAGAGTATTTCAGGCATGGAAAGCCAAGACACTCTGGCAAAAAGATCTCTGTGAGTGAGATCCCAGTGGAAAGAACAGGTCTTCAAAGAGGGAGGTGCCTTTCTCTGAAGGGAGGAGAGAACCTCCACTTTGACTATGACCTTGTCTAAACAAGATAAGAGTCGGAGAACTCAAGGGGCTTCCATAGCCTTGGAAACTCATGACTGGAGCATAGGGAGATTACTGATGCCATAAACAGGAGTGTCAATTTGTAAAGTCAACAACAGGAGTCACTGTGCACTTACTCCTCATGTAGGATCTCTGTCCTTAATGTGCTGTACACTGAGGCTTAATGCTATAACGAGTACTCAAACAGTATATTTCACTTTGTGGTTCTATGGGGGTGCAAACGATTGAAATCTTTACTTAATGTACACTAAACTGATCTTCTGTTAAAAAAAAAGAAAAAAAAAAGAAACTATCAATTCCCAACTTGACTCTCACTGGGATTAAACATGACAATAGGTCTGATCTGATTTCATCATCATTTAAAAAAAAATCATCTATTATTTTTCACTTTATGTTTCTGTGTGGGAACAAACTGTTGAAATCCTTACTTAAGGTATACTAAGCTGATCTTCTGTATACTAAGATAATCGAAAATGAATCTTGATGTGAATGGAAGGGGAGAGGGAGTGGGAAAGGGGAGGGTGGTGGGTGGGAGGGACGGTATGGGGGGGAAAGCCATTGTAACCCATGAGACGTACTTTGGAAATTTATATTCATTAAATAAAAGATTAAAAAAAAATAAAAAAAAAATAACAATTACAAAAATAAGAGCCAACATTACTGAGTGTTTTTATATGCCAAACATTGTTTTAAGCATTTTGCGTGTATTTTTAAAGATTGATTGATTGATTTGAAAGGCAGAGCAACAGAGAAAGGGGAAGAGACAGAGAGAGAGACAGACAGACAGACAGACAGAGATCTTCCATCTGCTGGTTCACTCCCCAAATGGCCACAACAGCCAGGTCTAGGCCAGGGCAAAACCAGGAGCCAGGACCTCCATCGTGGTCTCTCCCATGTAGGTTGCAGGGACCCAAGTATTTATGTCACCTTCCACTGCCTTCCTAGGCACATTAGCAAGAAGCTGGGTCAGAAGCAGAGGAGCTGAGACTCAAGCCAGCATTTGATAGGGGATTCCTGCATTGCAAGTGGTGGCTTAACCTGCTGAGCCACAATGCTGGCCCCACTTTGCAGGTATTCACTCATCTAATCCTCATGGCAACTCTTCAAAGTGGGTGCTATTCCAATTGCCAGTTTTCAGATAAGAAAACAGGTCTGGTACAGAAATGTGCCATCAGTTCAGTGGCAGGGCTGGGCGGGTGACCCAGCACATTACTCCATCATACGCTGTAGTATTTTGCTGTTCACCTTGTCCACCTTTGCATCGGATGAAAACCATCCGATTTTCCTTTCTTTCCATTTGGCAAGGATTAGAATTCCCAGAACGCTATTTCCAGATAGGTGTTAAATTGATCTTCTTATCTTCTTCTTTATTAATATTAATATTAAATGACTAGCTGGCTATTCATCTCTGTTAGGAATAAGTTCCATTCATCTGCAATTACTACACTATGACACTTCAGAAAGTTCATGGAAACTGTAATTAAAAGGTAAGTTTGACTGCAAAACAAACTGACATCTATTCATACAAGGGATCTTCAAAAAGTTCATGGAGAACGCATATTAGTAAAAAACAAAGCATTCATATACAAATCTGCACTCATGCATCCCAAAGACTAACTGGAGCATGAAGAAGTAACTCGAGTGAATGATGGCAAAATCTTGTTACTGGGAAAATGCTGTTGCACTTCATTATTATTAAAGCAGAAAGAGGTTACATCAAAGTACGAGTATTGCAGTATTTTATTTTCTTACCATTGAATGAGAAAACACCTTCTTAAACTTTTTCGCACAGGGAGGAAGGTATCTCTTTCCAAAAAGATGTGCTAAAACCACCACCAAGGTTTCCATCACATCTTCAGAAAATGTCTTTTTGCCTGTATTTTGTTATTTAAAAAAAAAGTTTAATTTTTCAAAACCTTGGAGAACAAATGTAATGTGTAAGACACAGCTGAAAACTTACTTCCTATGAATTTGGTGACTTTTTAACAAACTACACCAGCATTTCACAATATTGCAGGCTAACTGATGGCATCTTGCTACAAAACGCTTTGCATCCTCCTACCCACTCTTACCTGCAGAAGCCTGGTGGTCAATGAGCGATGGTTGCCCCTACTCTGTAACTGCCCTGGGATTCCCTCACTGGCTCCAAGTCTGCCCTTTGCTCCTCTGTCTCCATTCTACTCATTTTTTTCTACCTTGGTGCAACCCCTGCCAAGGAACAAAGGCCCGAAGCTGCTTGCTAAACTCCTCGTCTGCCCTTCCAGGCCCTGTGTGACGTGAATCTGCGCCCACTCTCTCTTTGGTGCACGTTACAGAAAGAACTCGCACCTGCTCCTCTTGACAGGCCTTTGCTGCCAATATTGCTTTTTCCCTGGAATATTTATTCCCCATATTTTCTTATGCCCAAACCCTCGCAATACACTAGGGACTAAATCTCCTAGAGGGAAAGCCTATGTGAAATTCCCGATATTTGATCTGCTCCAGCATTTTGCAGAGGGCCAGGGTCCAGACCACTGGGAGCATGATGGATGAAGGAGCTGAATGACAGGCACTCATGAGAGACTAGGAAACAGGCTACAACTACCTGCAGTATCAGAGAAATGCCATGCAGAGTGAGGCTTTCAAACTTGATTTCTTTTTTTGTTTGTTTTTGTTTTTGTTTTTTTTTTGACAGACAGAGTGGACAGTGAGAGAGAGAGACAGAGAGAAAGGTCTTCCTTTGCCGTTGGTTCACCCTCCAATGGCCGCTGCGGCCGGCGCGCTGCGGCCGGCACACCGCACTGATCCGATGGCAGGAGCCAGGTACTTATCCTGGTCTCCCATGGGGTGGATGCAGGGCCCAAGCACTTGGGCCATCCTCCACTGCACTCCCTGGCCACAGCAGAGAGCTGGCCTGGAAGAGGGGCAACAGGGACAGAATCCGGCGCCCCGACCGGGACTAGAACCCGGTGTGCCGGCACCGCTAGGTGGAGGATTAGCCTAGTGAGCCGTGGCGCCGGCTCGAACTTGATTTCTATACATTGTTAGCATCATGTGAAAATTGTGCCCAGCTTTCAAATTGCTTTAGCATTCTGAGACCCTCTACGCAATATTTATATCATAAGTAAAATTCATGACTCTTTCTTGAAAAAAAAAAAAAACAGGTTCACATGGATCAAAGGCTTTATGATTTGATTTATTATTAGTGTTAAGATATCATGGGTCAGCACTGTGGCATAGTGGGTTAACACCTGGCCTGCAGTGCCGGCATCCCATATGGGCACCGGTTCGAGTCCTGGCTGCTCCACTTCTGATCCAGCTCTCTGTTATGGCCTGGGAAAGCAGTAGAAGATGACCCAGGTCCTTCGGCCCCTGCACCCATGTGGGAGAACTGGAAGAAGCTCCTGGCTCCTGGCTTCAGATCAGCACAGCTCTGGCCATTGCAGCCAATTGGGGAGTGAACCAGCAGATGGAAGACCTCTCTCTCTCTCTTTGCCTCTCCTCTCTCTGTGTAACTCTGACTTTCAAATAAATAAATAAATATTTTTTAAAAAGATATATACTACCATATCATCTTAATTATTTCTGTACTATTTTGATAAAAGTTGATGTTTCCAAAAATAAAATAGAACAATGGGTCACTAACTGTATATTCTAGCCTTAGCTGCCTGCATTTGTGTTTGGATCACACCGTTCTATTTCCCTCTTTACCTTACAGCATTGTGTTTCAGTTATAGAAAAGGGAAAAACTAATTTAAAATTATAGTAAAGGAAATCATTACAGATGACAATGTTTTATGTAAATAACTTCCAAAAATTTTTCAGTAGAATAATGCTTATTGTCTTTAACAAAGCTAAAGGTTATAATTTCTTAAAATTTAAAAGTATATTAAATAATCATTAAGAATCATATTTATATTATGATTATACATACAAAATTCAGATGCTAATAATATTTTATAAACATATTTAATTTTGTAAAATGACAAGAAAAACCTTCAAGATACATTAGGAGAATGGGCAATCAGAAAATGGCCTACCAAGATGCATGCTTAGCCTAGCAGTTAAGATGCCTACATCTCATATGGGGTACCCAGGTTTAAAATTCAGATCCAGCTCTTACTTCCTGCTAATGCAGATGATGGCGCAAGTGATTGACTGGGTTCTTCCCACCCACATGAGAGACATGGATTGAGTTTCCAGCTCCCAACTTTGACCTGGCCCAGGACCAGCTACTGTGGACATCGGAAAGCAAATCAGTGGAAGATTTCTCTTGGTCTACTCGCTCATTCATTCATTCATTCATCCTCTCTCTCTCTTTTCCCTCCTCCCCCCCTCTCTCCCCATCTTTCCCTTCTTCCCTCCTTCCCTGTCTCTCCCCCTTCTTCCCCCTGTCCCTCCCTCCCTCTCAATCTTTTAAAGATGGCACACCATCAAAAGCAAATGTAGTTCTGGGGAACGTGCAGGTATATGTGAAGCAGTCGTACGGGATGTCAGTGTGTGTACATGTACAGTGTAAGGGGTAGGAGTTGGGAAAAGGATAGCTGCTCACCATCTACGATGACTGGAACACACAGCTTGTGAAACAGACCTTTCACCAGCATGCTTACTAAAGCAAAGTTTGAAGGTTCGTGGTAGTGCAGGTGGGACACAAGGCCAGCATATCCAACGGGAACACATTCTTGATTCAGGTATCCCTGTGAATCAATTTAACAATTTAGCCTCAGTCCCTAGATCTCAGAAATACCCAACAGGTAAGTCATCAAGTAAGGAGATTTCAGTAGTAAAGTTAAATACATGTACGAACACTTTAGTGAAAACAGGTTTAAATCTTACCTCTCTGATCAAGAATTGCAAAGAATATATGAAGTAAAATTTTAACATGCACTTGACCTTTGGTCGCTTGAAGGACATCAAGGAATACTGGAGCAGCGACAATGCCTATGCACACATGTCAAAACACCAAAGTTAGACAGGCTAGCTATAAAGTTTGAGATATCACTAATGACTTTGTTATATTATATACTCTAAATAATTATTACAGATATGCCATAAGTTTTACATTCTCTATGTATGAATAAAACATAATAGGATGAAAAATTTACTGGGAGAGATGAACAATGACAACTTCACTCATAACCACTGAGAAATAAATGTAAGCTTATGAATATATAAAAGTAAGAGTTAGGAACATTCCAGTATTTAGAACATTTTCAACCATTAATTCTTTGAAAATTTACTTTTAAATGTTCTAGGCTAGATATATTTATTGAAAAAAATTTCTCATATATGCAGAGTGTATTTATAATCATGGACTTAATTTGTCACGTGTACAGAAGTTACCACCATGTTCTTGTGTGAAGGAAAGGCACTAAGACAAGAATCAAATGTTGCTAAGAGTTTGCGAACTGCACATTGTGATTTTATTCCCTCCAAGATACCTAACAGGCGAGGCTTACTTTAGACTTGAGCTAAGATGATTATGTCTGTTAGAGAGGGTAGAGACTGTACCTTTGCTTTGGCATCCTCTTTGTCATCTGCTTTGGCAACCAACAGCATGAGTCTGAGAACCAAGGTGATGTTTAGGGGAAACTGACCCTTCAGCTTGGGCACATCAGACTTCAAGAGCCGGTCTATCTTGGGTAATGGAATATCATAGAAGATCACACTTCCTATAAGATCTTCTCCACGCCTTCCTGCACGCCCAGACATCTAAAGAGATGACCACAAAACTTATGCAAGTTCAAATCCTGGCACTGTAAATAATGTCTCACTTACCTATACCATGTGGAACATTAAACATTTGAAAATAAATCTTCAATGAGTTTTTTGTTTCTTGGTATATTGATGTTGTCAAATCTTGCAGAATTATTTTATTTTATAGATATATTTTTATAGATACATTTTAAAGTCCAGTGTTAAGACAGTATTGCCTCTTTTTTAAAAAAATAAATGGAGTACCAGCTCCTGTGTTTAGAGATCATGATCTGGGATCGGTGCTGTGGTTTAACTAGGTTGGGCCGCCTGCAGTGCCAGCATCCCATATGGGCACCACTTGGAGTCCCGGCTGCTTCCCTTCAGATCCAGCTCCCTGCTCATGGCCTGAGAAGGCACTGGAAGATGGCTCAAGTGCTGGGGTCCCTGCACCCATGTTGGAAATGTGGAAGAAGCTCCTAGCGCCTGGCTTCAGATTGGCCTAGCTCCAGCCTTTGGGTCCATTTGGGGAGTGAACCAAATGATGAAAGACCCCCCCCACCTCTCTCTGTCTATAACTCTGTCTTTCAAATAAGTAAATAAATCTTTAAATAAACAAATAAAGATCATGACCTTAGGGAAGGCATTTGGTGTAGGATGCTTGGGATGCCTGACACCTAGATTGGAATGCCTGGGTTCAAACACCAGCTCTGGTCCCCTTCCCAGCTTCCTGGAAGGCAGCAGGTGGCAGCTCAAGTAGTCAGGTTCCTATCACTCACACTGGAAATCCGGACTGAGTTACTGACTCGTGACTTCAGCCTGGCCTAACCCTAGCCACCGTAAGTGTCTGAGGAATGAACCAGTGGGTAGGAAACCTCTTTGTCTCTTTTTTCCTTCCTCTCTCGTTTCTCTCTCTCTGCCTATAAAATTAAATTAAAATCATGGCCTTTAAAGCAGGCACAATTTCTGATTTACCAACGTAGTTCCAGAAACGAGCCTAAAATCAAAACCTTATAGACACTTAACATATAATTATTGGTGGTTGGCATGAATTGGGTGCTCAAAGATGTAGTTACTTCCCTCCAATATTATTTTTGTTTATGTTCAAGAATATTTATCAAATTGAGAATATCTTCAGGAAAACTAAGCTACTGACAATATATTTTACAAGTTTTTTAAGTGTAATCATATTCATTAATATACATATATAAAAACTCAGTTTCAAATATTTTTATGGCCACCAAATATTTCAGAACAAATGGCTTTTCCTGGCCTACTGAATGAGCATTTCAGATACCTGTATATAGAACCGTAACAGAAGTCATGTATTATAAATACCTGTCGAAAGTTCAGAGCATCCAAATAAACAGAGTCTTCTGTAAAAACAACGGTTTTACAGGGCATATTAATTCCCAAAGCAAGGGATGATGTAGCTGTCACTACCTATGATGGAAAGCAAAAAAATAAAAAATTGGGAAAACATATTTCATGTAGCATACACAGATGCATACGTAGTATTGACCAAATTAAATCCCCTTACATTATTTTTCTTGAGTAAAAGTGCAGTGTTAAGACAGTATTGCAAAACATCAAACTCTATGCTTGCTTTTGGAATAGACAGCTCTACATCCCACTTGGATGTTCATTCATTCTCATATTCTTGCTGAACATTACAATTATACAGCATTTTCCAGGTAACAAAATGATACAAAATCAAAGCCATTCAGTAAGCCTTCAGTGTTACTGTCTGTGTGTGTTTGGCATGAATAAGAGCAATATGTTATACAAGGAGTTTATTTTCACGTTAAAAGATTTCCAAGAACAGAAAATAGTAAATGATACAAAGTCAGACTAGGCAGGAAGCAAGTCATAATAAGCATGACAAAACCATTCTAAGACATTTAGATTGTAAAAAGAAAGAAAGGTAATATGATATAATTAATATTTACAAGATTGATTTGGCAGCTCTGGGAGGAAATAATTGTAGGAGGTGATTACCAAAAGTAGAAGTCTGACAGAATGCTTTTAGATTATTCTAGACAACATATTATGACATAATTGAACAGGAAATATTCCTAGTGGAGAGATGTGGGCTGTACATGCATGTGTGTGCACGTGTGTGTGTGCGTGCATGTGTGTGTGTGAGAGAGAGAGAGAGAGTTGATAAGCACTTGCTGACGTATTCTGGCTGTTTTAATGTGGAAGGAAAAAGCACTGGGTTCCATGTCCCTGAGTTCTGTATCTGTGAATTCAACCAACCAAAGACTGGAAATATTTGGACAAAAAAGTGTACTGAACACTTACAGTCTTTTTTTTTTCCTGTCATTATTTTCTAAATAATATACTGTAGCAACTACTTACATACAATACACTGCACTAAGTAATGTAAGTAACCTAGAGACACAGAGGATATGCATTGGTTCTATGCCAAAGCTATGCTGTCTTATATAAAAGACTAGAGCACTGATGGATTTTGGTATCTGTGCAAGTCCTAGAATCAGTCCCCTGCAGATACCGAGGGGTTCACATTTCTTAGAGAAAGGTCAATCTACTGCTGGAAACTGTCTTATCTCAAACCTACCTAAGGTTGCTCAGATACATTTTTGTTTCTCATGTAGCCTTTTCTTCTCTTGAAAATAAACATAGTTAGGTTATACATTTTCCTCCAACTACTAGCTTAGCTGCATCACAGAAGTTTGTCTATACAGCATTTTATTTACCTAGCAAATAAATAAATTTTCTGGGGCTGGCGCTGTGGCATAGCGGATAAAGCTGCCGCCTGCAGTGCTGGCACCCCATATGGGCGCCGGTTCGAGTCCCGGCTGCTCCTCTTCCAATCCAGCTCTCTGCTATGGCCTGGGAAAGCAGTACAAGATGGCCCAAGCACTTGGGCCCCTGCACCCACGTGAGAGACCAGGAAGAAGCTCCTGGCTCCTGGCTTCAATAAGCGAAGCTCCAGCCAGTGCGGCCAACTGGGGAGTGAACCAGCAGATGGAAGACCTCTCTCTCTCTGCCTCTCCTTCTCTCTCTGTGTAACCCCGACTTTCAAATGAATAAATAATTCTTTAAAAATAAATAAATAAATAAACTTTCTATTTCCATTATTAGTTCTCCTTTACCCCGTTAATTTACTCTTAATTTTCACACTGCAGTTTATACAGTTATCTTTCTGGATCACTGGGGAATGATTGGGCTATCTGAACAAAGAATGGACTTTCGGGGCTGGGACTGTAGCTCAGCAGGTTAAGCTGCCACCTGAGGTGCCTGCATCCCATAGGAGAGCAAGTTTGAGCTCTGGCTGTTTCATTGCCTACCCAGCCCCCTGCTAAAGTGCCTGGGAAAACAGTGGAAAATGGCCAAGTACTTGGGCCCTTGACACCCATGTGGGAGACCAGATGGAGTTCCTGGTTCCGGGCTTCATTCTGGCCCACTGTGGCCATTGTGGTCATTTGGGGAGCGAATCAATAGAGGGAAGATTCCAGCCCCCCCTGTGTGTGTGTGTGTGTGTGTGTGTGTGTGTGTACTGTCTTTAAAATAAGTAAATACATCTTCAAAAAAAGAATGGATTTTATTTAATAAAAATGTAACAATATGGATTCATCTGTGGCAATAATATGTTGTAATAGTGTAAGATGTTAATAAAAGGAGAAATTGGGTGGCATGAGATATTCTCTGTACCATCATAACAACTTCAGTTTTTAACCCTAATACTCAAAATCTAAATGAAGTTAAAAAGAGTCATCCTGGAAAGAAATTTGGCTATGTATTTCCAGAGCCTGCTACCTTTTCCTTCTGAGACATTTCTTTCACTTAGCAGAATCAATCAATTCTAAATAAATAATTAAAATGATGATTGATGGGGCCAATACTGAGGTGCAGTGGGTAAAGCCACTGCCTGCAGTGCTAGCATCCCATATGGGCGCCAGTTCAAGTCCTGGCTGCTCCACTTCCAATCCAACTCTGCTATGGCCTCGGAAAGCAGCAGAAAATGGCCCAAGCACTTGGGCTCCTGCACCCACCACAGTGGGAGACCTGGAAGAAGCTCCGGGCTCCTGGCTTCAGATCGTCCCAACTCCAGCCATTACAGCCACTTGGGGAGTGAACCAGCAGATGGAAGATCTCTCTCTCTCTCTCTCTCTCTGTAACTCTTTCAAATACATAAATAAATCTTTTAAAAAATGATTGTCTATGTTGAAAGAAAATTAACAGTATAATGCTTAAGTAAATTAAATATGTGTATTTTCTGTTGCACACATGTTTATTACCTCATGCTAATTATTAAAATAATATTAGGCAAGGCAGACAAGATCCCAAATTGGGTACACATTATCATATTAACTATGTAAAAATGTATGGAAGGAAATATGATAAATGTAGGTGGCACATCTCCCCAGGTGCAGGGATTGAGAGAGAGAGCTAGATAGAGCATCTTCCGTCCCGTAGCCACTGCAGCTACCCAATTAAAGTGAAAGCTGTGCTTTGTAGTGAGTTCATCTACCTTGACGTGCTTCAGTCTGAAAAGGGTCTCAACAACTTGTCTCTGTTTGTACTCCATTAAACCATGATGGTAGCCAATGCCCCGCTGTAACAGCCTGATCAGACCAGAGCCTCCTCTTGTCCATCTCAGCCTGGATACAATCTTCCTGAAAGTCTGAAACACACACACAGTTTGCAAAATCAAATGAAGGCATATGTCCTTTGACTGAAGCCTGATTTTATGTGTTAGAAGGCTTTAGCAGGCAGAGTTAGATGCATTTCTGGGAAGAGCAGTTGTGTTTTAGGCTAGAACCTCAAGTTCATAAACAGAGCAGTTCTGTCCTAAGTGGCATTCATGCATAAGACCTGAGAAAGTAGAATGCAGCCCAACCTCAAATGCACTGATCCTTTCTTCACATGCCTTCCTCACAGCAGCCATGTGCCCAATTTTCCCTCATACACCTGCTGACATCATTCCCACAATGCTGGAGGCAGCTCCAGCTCATCCTGGGGTAATGAGGAAACACTGAAGCAACACAGTAAGAATTCCAAGAGGAAGATGCTCCATGCAGGCCCAGCGTCCCTCCAGGCAAGTAGCAAAATCCATCCCTGGCCCCGACACAGCTCTCAGCGGAGTCTGATGATCAACTGCCTTGTGCTCTATTTTTGCTGCTGACTTGAAACTAACTAACCGCTGTTCACTCCAATCACATCTGACCACTGTCTGCCCGTGTCTGTCTGTGTCTCCCTGTGCTTCCAGGCTGGCACCTTTGTGTTTCTCACTTCCTGTCTCTCTCTCCACACTCTCTCCCCATCTCTGTCCTGCAGCCCCTTCTCTGAAACTCCCTGTCTGCTCCTGAACAGTTTCTACCTCTGTCAGTCACTATTGCTCTTTTTCTTTCTTTTTTCTCTTTCCCACCCTCTTTTTTACTTTTATTCTGCTTCCCTCCCCCTTTCCAACCTGCACCATCACTAAAAGAAAAAAGCAAACATACACAAGTAATAACCATTGATCTGACTACATGGTCTAGTAGGTCAACCAACCAACAGATGCACACCCGTTATCTGGCATATCTCTCAGTGTTCTGGGCTTAGTTTCTGAGTGAGACACACAGCAGTGGAGGAGAAGGCAACCGTTTCTAGTTTGTAAAACTGGGCATGTGGTGGATGATTTGGTGACATGAAGCACAGAAAACGGGAGAAGTTTTCAAATGAAAGACAAATCTGATTTTGATTTCTTGGTAGCAAGTCACTGCATTAGCTCAGAAAAGAGATTTAACATTTACCTTTTCTTTTTCTTAAATTTTTTATTTGCTATAAGGAGAACAAATCTCATGTATTTTATATATACAGTTTTAAGAACATAATTATGGGGCCGCCACTGTGGTACAGCGGGTAAAGCTACTGCCTGTAGTGCCAGCATCCTATATGGACACCAGTTCGAGTCCCAGCTGCTCCACTTTCTATCCAGTCCTCTACTAATGTGCCTGGGAAAGCAGTGGAGGATGGCCAAAGTGCTTGGATCTCTGCAACCATGTGGGAAACCTAGGAGAAGCTCCTGGCTCCTGGCTCCTGGCTTCAGCCTGGCCCAGTCTTGGCCAATGTGGCAACTTGGGGAGTGAACCAGCAGATGGAAGATGTGTGTGTGTGTGTGTGTGTATATCCGTGTAATTCTGCCTTTCAAAATAATAAATATTTTTTAAAAATATCATGATGATACTTCCCACCCTCCTTTGTTCCCTCCCTTGCTCCCATCTACTTCCTCCTTCCTTTCTTATTTTCTTTTAATTTCTACAATGATATACTTTGAATTCACTTTATAGTCACAAGATTCGATTATTGCTCATGGCCCTTGTCTATACTCTTCAGGAACAGTGGGGTTTTTTGCTGACTGCTTGTTGAATTCTTTACTTACTGGAGGGTGACTCTTGGTGATTACTTTTACCTTTTCTATTTCTATTTCTATTACATAAAAGATTATCATTAACTTTAACAGATGCAGTCGACTGCACAAAGAAAAAGCCTGCACTTGCTATACCTCGTCATGAATCTTTGAACCACTTTTAATAGCTGTGTAAGCTTACATATATAATCTTAACTTCTTCAGCCTCCAACTCCAGTTTCCCATACATTAAGATCAATTTAGATGAAATAGGTTGTGTTTTATAAACTGCATAGTACAGTATAGACACACACACACACATATAAGGTTATGCGCCAGATTGTGCACCACCAAAACTGAACTTTGAAGTACTTGATACAATTAAGTTAAAAGTAAAATCATTACAGTGAGCTGCAATCCAATATGACTACTACCTTTGTAAGAGGAATTTCGGACAGACACATACAGAGGAAACACGATGTAGTGGTAACAGACAGCAGGGAGAAGGTACCCAATTATACAAGAGGACTGCAACAAGTTCATGGAAAAATCAAATCGAAAAACTAAGTTTATTCTAGTGCAAAAAACTTTAGAAATTCACGCAGAGCTTTCTCATAACATGTATTCTCCATGGCCTCTGGGAAGATACCTCGTGTGGGCAGATTTCAAAATTCTTTTGCATAAAATAAACTTATTTTTTAATTCTGTTTTTCATGAGCCCTCTAAAGTAATGCATGTAAGCCCTGGAGAGAGACCTGGAGCAGACCCTGCCCTCTGAAGCCTCAGTAGGAAGTAATCCTACTGGGTGCCAGACTTCCAGCAGGCATAACTGTTAAGAAATAAATTCCTAACACGTGGTACCCTGGTGCAGAAGCCTTAGCAAATGAATCCATCCACCTAGGCATGCCCCCTGTTCTTGTCTCTTACCTTGCTATCCACACCTGCTCGATCAACATAAGTACAGTCCGGAGGAACTTCTTTACTCTTTTTAAGACTCTTCTTTATTTCCTTTATTTCAGCGTCCCATAAAATCAATCTCTGAATTCGAGCAGTTGAATTTGAATGTAAATAACTGAATATAAAAAATCAGGAACGTCGTGAATATTGATTATAACATGCCCTCTTCTTTTCAACATTTGAAATTGTGTCTGTAAGTGCCAGCATAAAAGAATGCCTGGTAATTTGAACCCAAAATATGATTGCCCTTATTAAAGGATATTCACCAGGCCTTAATTACTTCAATTCTCATTGCTTACCATCTGTTATTTTTAACATATGCATTGACACCTACTTAACAGAAAACAGAAAAACCATTCTTGGTCCTGCTTGACTACAGATTCTGGTATGAGGCCTGCTCACCTGTGGATTCCAGCAACAGGTCTGTCGCCAGACTTGGCAAGCCAGTAAGCCCATAAGCTCCACTAACTGGCCCATCTAAAACCTCCATTCAAGCCAACTGGTAAAACTGCCAAAGCCAGTTTATAAAGATTGGAAGAAATGATTGCTTCTTCAAATGCACAGAGAGCAACATGCAGGTACCAGAATCAAAGAATCAGGGAAACATGACATCACCAAAGGAATAAAATAAGATTCCAATAACGAAGCTTAAAGAAATGGAGATCTAGGGGCTGGCACTGTGGCTCAGCGGGTTAACGCCCTGGCCTAAAGTGCCGGCATCCCATGTGGGAGCCGGTTCGAGGCCCGGCTGCTCTATTTCCAATCCTGCTATGCCTGAGAAAGCAGTGGAGGATGGCACAAGGCCTTGGGCCCCTACATGTGTGTGGGAGACCCTGAGGGGGCTCCTGGCTCTGGATCAGTGCAGCTCTGGCCATTGTGGCCGATTGAGGAGTGAACATCGGATGGAGGGCCCCTCTCCCTCTCTCTCTCTCTCTGCCTCTCTTCTGTGTAACTCTGACTTTCAAATAAATAAATAAATCTTTTAAAAAAAGAAAGAAATGGAGATCTAGGGCTGGCACTATGGCACAGTGGGTAAAGCCACTGACTGTAGTACCAGCATCCCATATGGACACCGGTTTAAGTCCTGGCTGCTCCACTTCCACTCCAGCTCCCTAACACACCTGGGAAAGCAGTGGAAGATGGCCCAAGTTCTTGAGCCCCTGCACACCCATGGGAGACCCAGAAGAATCTTCCGGCTCCTGATTTCAGACTGGCCCAGCTACAACTGTTGCAGCTCTTTGTGGAATAAACCAGCAGATGAAAGATTCTCTCCCCCCCCCCACCCAATTTTGTCTTTCAAATAAATAAATAGATCTTTTTAAAACAGAAGAAATGGAGATCTATGAACTGCCTAACAAAGAATTCAAGATAATCATCCTAAAGAAGTTTAGTGAGCAATATATAAGAGAACATAGAAAGAAAATATTTTAAAAATCAGCAAAATAATACATGAACAAAATGAGGGTTCAACAAAGATAGATAAACAAGAATTCTGAAGCTGAAGAACAAAATCATCGAAACAAAAAATTCAAGAGTTTCCATAGCAAACTTAATCCAGTGAAAGAAAGAATCAACGAATTCAAAGACAGACCATTTCAATTATCTAGTTAAAGAAACACCAACAAAAAGAATGAAATAATAAGTGAGTAGGAAGCTTTTGGATCTGCTATCGTTTGAATATATTTTGTCCCAGAACTCATAATGAAGCTTGATCCCTATAATGGTACTGAGTGTTGTGGGACTTTAAATATATGATTAGGTTGTTAATCACAAACTTAAACTTTGTGGACCTAAGAAAATGTTAGAAATCAGCTAATCAACTGAAGAAAGTTACTGTAAAACATTGTACAATTACTGAAATACTCAATAATCTTCTCCCACATAAGTCCCCCAAAATGATGTTCTAATTAAATTAAGTTGGTATATCATAAAAACATAAAGCAGTGAAATATGATTTTAATTATATAAATAATTGCACACTTAAAGGTTTCAGTTCACAATGAATTCCACAATTCCAGTAGAAATACTCACGCAGCGTACATTCTCCTTTGAGACTTAATTGCTTTCTCCAGTTTCCTGTTTAAATTCTTCTCTCCTTCAGAGTTGTGACTATGAGTATATTGTCTCATCAACATATTAGTAAGAAGGCGTGAAGCTGACCTTTCCACTGAGTGAATGTTGAATCTAAAGTAAAGTATGTGAGAACACTGGATAACTGCATGCTCATTCCAGTCCAGCCCTGCATTCATTAATAAAGACAATTTTTGGATGTAGGAACCTTTGTTTGGGTAACATCAATCTCTGTCATTCATTCATTTTTGCCCATTTAACTCCTAAATCAGAGTTCATGTGAATGGAAGGGAAGATCAGAGTTAGTTACAAAGGTGAATTTTGATACTATGGTAAGAGTAGTTAGGTAAAGGCTCTTTACTAGGGAAAAAAAAAAACTGCTCTTTTCTCATTTGACACAGTTCCCATATTAAGACTGCTGAATCTTTGTAAAGAACAGACCAGCATCTACTTGTCATTGTTACTAGTTAGTTCCTTTTCACCTGTGACATGAAGTTTGAGTTAGGAATTGGATTTCTAGGAGTACTTTTGTACTTCCTCATATTTGGCTTAACCTTTTTCTCTTCACTTTTCTCAAAAATTTTCAGACTTATTACAAGATCAATGCACATTCCTATACAGACATTTAAAGAATTGACAATTTGGCCTCATATTTTCCTTCCAATTTTGAAGTTTTATATATATAGTATATATGTATATATATACTCTATGTCGGTGAGTGCCCACATATACACAATATGCATAAATTAAACCTCCCACAAAGAGCTGATGAAAACATGATTGCTAATTAAATCATCTTGCTACCAGGCCCTATCTAATTTTTCTTTTAATTCTTTGAAGTGATTGTCATAAATATTCTTCAAGGTCTTTTCTTTCCACTTAAAGAGAGCTTATATATAATAAAACTTCACAAAAGAAAAATGGCAGACTAAACACTCAATATGCCATCATATGTGTATATAGGTGTATGTTAATGTATGTACTTTGTTTTGCCAAATACACATTCTTTTTACCATATCTGATTCTACAAATATGTTGAACTTTCTATTAACTTATGGCCCAGGAAATTCCACTCTACCAAGCCATACAATTAGATTTTCAAATAAAATTCAGTAAGAGAGTGTTTGTTTCTGTTGTATTATATCCAAGTTGCTATAGAAAATATCTCTTATATGTGCTAGTTGATATAGATACAAAAATAACATATCAGAATGAAACTGATACCTTATGATTTGATTATTGTTTATAACCCTTTTCTATATTCCTGTGGAACACTGGTCTTCCTACTTTTTACTTGTTGAACATCATGGTTAGTGGTGTGTTAATCCTGTGGTCATAAAATAGATTGAAAATATGTTATTGCAGGGGCTGACGCCGTGGCACAGCAGGTTAAAGCCCTGGCCTGAAGCGTTGGCATCCCATATGGGTGCCGGTTCGAGTCCCGGCTGCTCCTCTTCCATCCAGCTCTCTGCTGTGGCCTAGGAAAGCAGTACAAGATGGCCCAAGCTCTTGGGCCCCTGCGCCCACCTGGGAGACCTGGAGGAAACTCCTGGCTCCTGGCTTCGGATCAGTGCAGCTCTGGCCATTGTGGCCATCTGGGGAGTGAACCAGTGGATAGAAGACTTCTCTCTGTGTCTCTACCTCTCTCTGTAACTCTGTCTTTCAAATAAATAAAATAAATCTTTTTTAAAACAGAAAATATGTTATTGCAAAAATTAAAGGAAAATTAAGGAAAGGAGAAAGGTGGATTGAGGGAGGTAGAGAGGGAACTGTGCTTATCTTAGAAGTACATCTATAGCCGGTGCCACGGCTCACTAGGCTAATCCTCCGCCTTGCGGCGCCGGCACACCGGGTTCTAGTCCTGGTCGGGGCGCTGGATTCTGTCCCGGTTGCCCTTCTTCCAGGCCAGCTCTCTGCTGTGGCCAGGGAGTGCAGTGGAGGATGGCCCAAGTCCTTGGGCCCTGCACCCCATGGGAGACCAGGATAAGTACCTGGCTCCTGCCATCGGATCAGCGCGGTGCGCCGGCCGCGGTGCGCCAGCCACAGTGTGCCAGCCCCAGCGGCCATTGGAGGGTGAACCAATGGCAAAAGGAAGACCTTTCTCTCTGTCTCTCTCTCTCACTGCCCACTCTGCCTGTCAAAAAAAAAAAAAAAAAAAAAAAAAAAAAAGAAGTACATCTATAAAATGCATGAAATCTGTTCCCTATATTCTAAAAATTTAAAAAGAAAATATAACTTCAATATGCTCACAAATTCCTCAAATTCTAAGATATGTCAGATTATAAGTTCTTCCTTTTCAATAGTCTGCAAATTCATATAAATCAATGTATAATGCTTTCCACAGAAAATAATTACTTACGAGAAAAATATTGCTGGTAGCCTATCCATTTCTTTAAGTTTTTCCACAAAACAAGGAAGCATTCGTTCCTTTTCAATTCTTGCACTGTCAAAAGTTTGAGGCTTAAGGTACTGCAGTAACTGATTCACCTGAATAAAGTTACCACAAATAAAAGGCAGATAAGGTACTGACGACCGCAAAGGAAGGCAACAGAATGCACAGATATTTGAGGGTGAAAAGCAAGTTGCTGTTGAACAGTATATTCAGAATGACAATGTAAGTACAAAGTTAGGATTTCAACCAGTCATATACTAAGCATTTAAATACAATGAAAACCTCAGAAAACTTGAATGACATGGTTCTACACTACTGTGATCAAGTTCATGTAATACTGTGGTGTGCTTACTGAAAGGATTATCATGACTTAATGCTGATCATTATCAGTAAATATAGGCTACAGAAGGATGACTTCAACATTTAATGGCAAGAAAATCTGAAATAGTTTTTCTTATCTATAGATATCACATATACACGTATGGTCTACAAATAGTATTTTAATAGGATATTTCATTATTTTTTAAGCTACAATTTTTACGTGGTATAAGTTACCAGAGAAAAGGTAATAGATTCAGTAGGGTGGGCGCTGGCACTGTGGCATAGAAGGTTAAGCCTCCTCCTATGGCACCAGCATCCAATACGGGCGCAGGTCCGTGTCCTGGCTGTTTTGTTTACGGCCTGGGAAAGCACTGGAAGATGGCCCAAGTGCATGGGCCCCTGTGCCCACATGGGAGACCCTGGCTCCTGGCTTCAGATCAGCCAGCTCCTGCCATTACGGCAGTTGCGGGGATTGAAACAGCAGATGGAAGATATTCTCTCTCTCTCTCTCTCTCTTTCTCTCTCTCTCCTCTGTCTGCTTAACTCTTTCAAATAAATAAATAAATAAATCTTTTTCTAAAAATTACATAGGAGGTTGTTTTAAAATTCCAGTGCCCCAGTCCACTGGAGGTCAATCAGCTCAGAATCTCTAGATGAGATTGGGCTTCCTAGATGATTCCTGATAAGCAGCCAGGGTTGAACCCCTCATGAATTTAATAATGATTTGGGACATTAGGTGGTTTTCACATTTGCAGATCAGTGTGGCCTGTCCCAGTGAGTTTTACTGACTGAGGTGCACATTCAAAGAGGATATAGTAGTAGCAGGTGTGGGCTGTCCCGGATGGAACTAAAGTAATGATTCTCTACATCTTTCTTTACCTAGCTGGCTAAATTTAAGGTAGAATGGCAAAGTACAGTAATAGGATTTCCATATTCAAATACTAAAGAGCCCTATGGGGATTTCTTTACCATAACTGAATAAATCAGATTCATTTTATATTAATAAAAAATCCTAAATGTCTGTCACAACCTTGCCTGGGTCCAGCTGCATCCAACTAAGCAGTTCCTTTTTCAGTTCCTCTTCATATTTCTTGGCATCTGTCCTCATGATGACTACTTTATTTTTGAAGCAGCTGAATTCTTCAGGTTCTAACTCCTTGAAAATGAAGAAGCACAAATACCAAAGAAAATACAGTTATCACCTGGTCTAAAGTTTGCCACATGCACGGTTATGAGGCAAATCTCTCAGTTCACTGCATCCATGTTTATGAACAGCGTTAACTACATGAGGAGTTGAACACATAATGTTTTTAAGTATTTAAAAAGCAAGATTTAAGGCCGGCGCCACGGCTCACTAGGCTAATCCTCCGCCTTGGGGCGCCGGCACACCAGGTTTCTAGTCCCGGTTGGGGTGCTGGATTCTGTCCCCGGTTGCCCCTCTTCCAGGCCAGCTCTCTGCTGTGGCCAGGGAGTGCAGCGGAGGATGGCCCAGGTGCTTGGGCCCTGCACCCCATGGGAGACCAGGATAAGTACCTGGCTCCTGCCATCAGATCAGCGCGGTGCGCCTGCCGCAGTGCGCCAGCCACGGAGGCCATTGGAGGGTGAACCAACGGCAAAGGAAGACCTTTCTCTCTGTCTCTCTCTCTCACTGCCCACTCTGCCTGTCAAAAAAAAAAAAAAAAAAAGCAAGATTTATTAGAGCCAGAGTGCATGGAGGGGGCCCCAAGAGAGGCAAACCAGAAGGGGGCCCATGGCACTGGAGTTTTTAAAGCACAGTTTTGGGGGAGGAAAAAAACTTCTCAGCTTGACATTCAGTTCCAGGCAGGGACAAAACCCATCAAAAAAAAAAAAAAAAAGACATATCATTCTTACTGTAGCAAAGCATTATTCTAAGAAACTTTTAATATTGGCTTATGGTAATAACAATGCTAACAAAATAGGCATTATTAGCTTTTAAACTAATTTTTCTAATCTAGAGAAATGAGTCTCTGAAGTTTCTGCTTGAACTATGGAATACCACGCCTTCATCTACATCAGAGTAACACCATTATCTAATTTGTCATTCTTAATGGACTATCATGCCACAGGACTAGAGATATCAGCTAAGGAATACCCACAAACACACACACCCCACATGCACAGACACACAGACACACACATACCATTCACAGACACATATGCACACATATACAACATACACACATACACCACAAGCACAAACACATGCAACACGCAATCACCATACACACCATACACACATGACATACACGACATACACACAAGAACCACATATTACACACAACATGAACACACACACACCACACACACCATGCACATGCCCACATTCACACATACATACATCACGTTCACACACATACCACATTACCACACACACACACATACACCACATCACATGCAAATATGCTGCACACAAACACCACATACACAGACATACACGAAATGCACACACACACACACGAGAAATCTCCAAAAAGTTCATGGAAATGTGTATTGTGAAACAAAACTGCATGAATTTCAAAATTACTTTGCACCAAAACAAACTTACAACTCCATTTCCTCTCATTTTTGAAATATATATACATATGTAAGTGTATTATACGTATTTACGCACACACAGAGAGAGAAACAGTTCCTAGTGTTTACTTTCATACCACACCTGCATTCTTGACCGTTCTGGCCAAATGTGTACCATAGCATCATAGAAGTATGCTTTCCCGAGGAGAAAACTGAAGGTCTGCAGGGATCCATACTTCTCTATCTGAAAAGCAGAAAATGCAAAACCATTGATCTCCATCCATATGCAGATTTAACCACCTTGACGCCTCCTTTTCCAAAGTGCTTTTGTATTACATGGTTGACTGTGAGTGCAGCGCACGGGTGGTAGTGTGCAATGACAAAATCGTTATCCTTTAGAGAACACACTACTTTTCTAGATCGTTGTATCGTTCTTTGTAACACACTGTGAAAGTGGAATTAAAATGCGGATTAAGATGGGTTTGTGTCTCTCAGCAATGATGTAATTCCGATTTTCTAAAGACAGCTAGGCCTAGGGAGAGCTGTGCTGGAAGCCTCTGTCGACAAAACGACAACAGGGCCATGCAGTGGAGGAGGAGCTTCTGTGCCTATACCGCACACAGATGTTTTACCTGCCCTCCTGGCCTGGATCTTCAGTCACAGTCCATCCTTGCTTCTTGTAATTCCTAGTGTATATTTTCTAAATATTCTTGGAAAGCATGCTTTTGCATAAGGAGCATGGTTTGAATAAAAAGGCCTGCAACCCATTCAACTATTTCAATAGGAAACACGGGTGTTACTGGATCATCTCCTGTCTTGGAGAACAGTATCACCATCTCCCAGAGAAAACGAGCCTTCTTCTGTCATTTACTCATTTTTAAATCCAGGAATCCAGTATGCCACAGGGCTTTGTTAATATGTCACTTAAAATTAGGACAATTTAGCATTTACCTACCTAACATGTTATCTATTTTACTTACGCATTGTTTAACCCTGCATCTCCATAAAAATTAAGCTCTAGGAAAGCAAGGAGTTGTTTTCTGCTCTATCTCTAGGGACTTGAGTGGGATCTGGCACAGATGAGGTACTTTGACATTGTCAAGTGAAAACATGTATATGGGGCCTGTGTGGCACACCTGGTTGAGCTTCTGTTTGCAACCGCCATCCCATAGAGTGACAGGTCAGGTCCCAGCTGCTCCACTTCCATCCACCAACACCCTGATATTGTACTGAGAAAGCAGATGAGGCCCAAGTACTTCAGCCCCTGCCAACCACGTACGAGAGTCAGATGGAGTCCTGGCTCCTGGCTTCAGCCTGGCCCATTCTCAGCTATTATGGTCATTGAGAGAATGTACCAGCAAATGGACAATCTCTCCCTTTCTGTCACTCTGCTTTCAAATAAATTAACCTTTTTTTTTTAAGGTTCTCTAATCTACTGTTGGTGGGAATGCAAACTAATACAGCCATTGTGGAAGACAGTATGGCGATTCCTCAGACAGCTGAAAAAAGATATGTCATATGACCCAGTTATCCACCCCTGGGAATTTACCCAAACAAAGTAAAATCAGCATATGAAAGAGTTATCTGTACATCCAAGTTTATTACAGCTCAATTTCCAACAGCTCAGATATGGAATCAACCCAGGTGTCCATCAAGTGGTGACTGGACAAAGAAAATGTGGAATACATACACTTTGGAATTACTCAGCTGTAAAAAATGGAATTCTGTCTTTCACAATAAATTGGATGTACCTGGAAACCATTATACTTAGTGAAATAAGCCAGTTCCAAAAAACAAATACCATATGTTTTCCTGATCTGTGGTAATGAAGAGTATCAAAAAGTAATGTATAATTTTTGCATTGCAATCTGCAAAAATTATTCTTCTGTGTAAAATGGCTTAAAGTCTAAATGAACTTAATCATTATCCTGTAACCACACAGGAAATATTTAAATGTTACATTGTCATCGCTTCTATTTCATTTTAAAAAATGTATGGGTGAAATGGTCATTTTCTCTTCAATTATTGATAGCCGCTGTGTATATTCCCACTAACTAGGGTCGTCTTGCTTTTTACATGTTAAACTTCTTATTAGGTAAGGTATTAACCTTTTTTTAGTATTCAGCCTTTTTACAGTATGGAAATTTAAAATATGCTATCTCAAAACCTAAAAAAAAGAAAGGTAGCAGGAAGGAGACTGGGGGAGGAAGGGAATACCATTATGTTCTTAGACTTGTATCTATAAGCATATTGATTCTTAAAATTAAAACAAAAATGAAATAAAACAGCATGAATGTCACATATAGGAATCTGAAATTCACAGTAGCTAAGAGATGGAATTAACCTAGATGTCCATCAACTGATTACTAGATAAAGAAAATGTGGTATACATACATGATGGAATTTATTCAGCCAAAAAAAAAAAAAACAAAAAACAAAACAGAGAGAGAATGAAATCCTGTCTTTTACAATAAAATGGATGCAACTGGAAACCAATTTACTTAGTGAAATAAGCCAGAACCAAAAAGACAATAGTAGGTTTTCTGATTTGTGGTAAGTAAGATATAGAGTACACAAAAAGTCATGTATATGAGTGACACTGACATCCTGAGATTTGATTATTGCTTATAGCCCTTGTCAACACCCCTGTAGAACAGTGGTCTTCCTATGGGTGGAATCCTTTATTTAGTGGAGGACTAGCCCTGTGATGAAAGAAGTTGAAAGTATGTTATTGCAAAAATTAAAAGGGAAAAAAAGAAAGGATGGAGGAGGGTAGTAGGGAGAGTGGGAAGTATCATTATGTCCTGCAAATTGTATATCTGAAATCTGTTCTCGTTATACAAAGAAAAATAAAAAAGTAGTCAGATAAACATGATTCTATACTACTTCAGAGAATTCTCACGAAATAGTCCCAAATGCATGCGGTAAGGAATACTCAATTCAATAGTAAAAACATTTAGAGTATGTGCATAATAAAACAATTATGATATGGATATTTTCCAAGGAAAAGAGGGGCACATACAAAAATAACTACCACAGGTGGTAGGAAATTGCGTAACATAGGACACCCTATGGGCCCTGACCTAGAACAACCAAGGTGGTGTTCGGGATGTGCCGCAAGGCAGAATCTTTCCAATAAGAGTAGACAGGACTTGGCCAAGTACAGAGGAAAGTGACCCAGGGAGAGCGTTCTAGAAGAAAACCTGAAACTCAAAGGCAGATTTCAGAGCACAATTAATAATCCAAACTATCAAGAAAGTCCTGAAAGGAGAAGATTTCTTAGATGAAACAGGGGATAGCACAGAAGCTGGGACCACAGGTGAATTGGAAATTTTGAAACACATTGTTCAGTGAGCCAGAACTGTCTCTAGGTTGTTTGAGTCTTTTCTCACAGAACAGGAGTGAAATGCTTATCTTGGCTATGACTCCATATCAATCACATTAAATCATGAAGGAATTCGCACAACACCAAATAGACAATATTTGGAAAGAATTTGATCTCCAAGTTCAGTCAGTCAGCTCTGTGGACGTCAACACGGAATATCACCTCCTAGAGCTGTTTCCTATCTATTTCATTTCTCTGTAAGTGAAAGTAAGATGCACTGCCTTTCACGGTTACAATAAGAACAAGTTGCTCTGCGTATGTAGAACACCCTCAAATGTGACGAGCACACGGGGTATGCTTGCTACTTCTGCACTCTCTCCGAGTGAAGAAATCCATACCCAGTGATGGCTTTCCCACTCTTGTTCGTTGTTGTCTCTTTGAGCTTTTTAAGGCATTTCTTGATGGATCAGCATTTTCCATTGTGCTTTCAACACGTTGCCAATATCCTTTAACTAACGCCAACCACCTAGTTACAAAAAGAGAACAATCATTGTTGCAGAAAAAACGTGTTCCTAAGTCTGTATATATGAATCACATGAAATTTGTTTACCTTAAATAAAAAAATTTTAAAAAGATAAAATGAAAAATTGGAAATGATGGGTGTGGTTCATTAACTTTGACAAAGATATCAGCATAAAGCGTAATAGCAGAACTTGGGTGAAGGGGAATATGGTAACTCTTTGTATCTCATAATTTGTCTGCAAATTTAAAATTGTTCTTAAGATGTTAAAAAGCAGATATGACTGGAGGGAGGCACGATGGTGGAACAGTGACAGGGAAGTCTTCTATAGGCTCCACGAACTTAGCAGAAAAAAAAGTGAAGTCACACTCTCCGGGAAAACTGCAGTGGGAGATCTTGCAAAAGCAGTGGAAACGGCCTGGACCTAAGGGGAAGGCACAGGCACACAGCAAGGAGCTCGGAGCGTGGAGCAGGAACACAACAAAGGAACCAGCAGCCCACCTGGATAGCCAGGTGGGGTCAGGACCAGGCCCTTGCCACACCACGGCTGGTGCAGCTGGAAGAAGAATCTAGTAGACTGTGCAGTATCTGAGTCCAGCCCAGAACCCTCAGGGGAGCTGGGGCGACTGCTCACCCAGAGTGGGGGAAGAAAAGCCGAGCACCTCCCTCACCACGGTTCCCGCTACCACACCAGCGCCCTGCAGCTAACAGGCCGGGAGACAGCTGCCGTCATTCCACAAGATCAGAGCAGCGGCTCCAGCTTCTCCGAGCGCACCCAGTAGCTAGTGGGAACTGTTGGCAGGGGCAACCAGAGCAGTTCGAATCAACTGGTGGGGTCTGTCCCCACCTGTCATCAGGCCAACAACACCAGCTCCTCTGTACCCTTATGGCAAAGGGGGGGAGGGGGAGCCATCCCCACCAAAGGGAAGCGCCACCCTCAGGGCTCTTGTACCCACCCAGCACAGTTCTGAAAGCAGCAGGGCTGCAGATGGCAAGTACTGTGCTTGCTTGCAACCCAGGGATTCTACCAAGGCGAAAAATCCCTGTGGACTTTGAGTCTGCTCAGGGTGAAACACACAGCCTCCCTGTGGACAGGACAGCCTAGCGGGGCAGTGTACTCTCTTGCAGTCCTTGTCTGTGGGAGCCCAGGGTGCTGAGACTGTGAAAACACTGTGACTGTGAGAGGGGCAGGGTGTAGCGGGTGCTGGGTAAGTTCTGGGTGCAGAGCCACACTTTCAGAACTCCTAGGTTGCCAGGGCAGACCACTGCAGCTGGACCCGTGCACACAGAGAGCTCTGCACACGTTCCCGAATCTGCATACAGGAAATGGATGAAATTTGTATACTTTAAATTAAATAAAATTTTTTAAACAAGAAAAGCTTTAATTTTCAAAAAAAAAAAAAGAATGAATATAAATCTCAGACTCACTCAGTGAGATGCTCAGGGTTACTGATAGTAGCAGAAAGGGCCAAAAAGGGACAACGAATCATAACAAGGAGATGTTCCCACACTTCCGCTCCAACTTCTCCCCCAAGGCAGTGAACCTGTCAGTGTAAACAGACTCATGTCAGAATGGGGACAGGGTGTCGCTCCCCTCTTCGTGGAGGAACGACACTAAGCCCTGCCTAGGCTTCATATCGAGTCACGGCACCATTATGTCGCTCCCCCTCTTCGGTGGAGGAACGACACGGACCCTGCGCTGTTCTTTCGTCTGCTCGGCCTCCCCGGGTTTGCTGCTGGTTCTTCCCAGGTTGGCTACTATCCCTTCCACCTCCGTGGAAGGGCAGCTCCCCCTGGCCACATTCCCCACTTCCGCAGTGGAGCGGCACACCGCCGCCGGCTCTTCTCGGGGGCTGCACGGGGGCTGCACAGGTGTTTCCCCTTAGATGTCCCCCATAGAGTGTCCTGTGCATGCCGTCTCTCCCTCCTTTATAGTCCTCCTCCGCCAATCCCAACTCGGCTGCCCACACGCCGAGTACGCTGCTCTCCTCCAATCAGGAGCAAGTCCTACAATTTATTAGTTGAACTGGAGGCAGCTGTGCGGAAGCTGTTTACTTCTCTCCCAGCGCCATATTGTGGGAGAGCAGATGCATGAATAAGTCTTAATTCGAAGTAACTTAGTCCGTCCGGATTGCTCCCCACAGATCCCCCTTTCTTTTTATTTTTGGCGTTGATACGCCCTGTCTTCGGTGTCCCGCGGCACACACTCTGCTCTACTTGCTAGAGTTGCCACAGGCTCTACAAGTCCTATCAATCAGGCAAACCGAATCCGGGTCCTCTCTTCGCCATGTTGTGAGGAGGTTTTTAGGCGCTGATGCGTGTCTGTGTTCGGTGCCCTGCAGCGCATGCTCTGCTCGGCCTGCAGGGGACTTACAAGACCTATCAGGCAAACCGAATCCAAGCCTTCTCATTGCCTTATTGTGGGGGAGACGTATTAGTGTTGGTTCGTGCCTATCTTCGGTGACCTGCAGCTCATACTCTGGTCGAGCTGCTTGCTGGCGCTTACCGCCTTAATCAGGCAGACCGAATCCAAGCCTTCTAATTGCGGTAGTGTGGGGAAGCCTTACTGATGTTAATTCGTGCCTGTCTTCAGTGACCTGCGGCGCATAAGCTGCTAGCCGCCGCAGGTGCTCATCGTGCTCATCGCTTCACTTAATCAGGCAGACCGAATCCAAACTTTCTCGTTGCCATGTTGAGGGGAGGCCTTTCTATTTCTCTATTTCTCTATCTCCGGGCATTCCTATTTCTCCCCATTTTACTTCTATCTCCAGCATTCTTATTTCTCTCATTTTATTCTAAGCTTCTATTTTCTCTTATGCCTGCAGCTTCCCGGTGCCATCGCGCTGCCGGCAGCTTCACGGCTCCGCGCAGCTTCAGCCCGCGCCTCCTCTGCGCCGCTCGGCTTTGCGCGGCTTGGCTTCGCGCGCTCCGCGGTCTCGCACTTAACCCTTTCGCGTCTGAACCACGGCCTCGCCAGCCCCGTTCCCTATCTACTTGTGCCCCGCACGCTCTCCTCTGCACGCGGCGGTTTCCGCGAGTAACACAGCGTAGCTTACGTGTCCGCCACTAGCATTCATCTAAGTTCCCCGGGCTAGCCTGGCGAATTCAACCCAGCGTACGTCTCCGCCCCACGGTTTGGCTTCCCGTCCTTTGCTCCCGGGCTAATCAGACGGATCCCAACCAGGCTCACGTGTCAGCTTCTGTTTCAACTTTTCGCCCCTATTCCCGGGCTAACTTGAGAATCCCAAAGTGGCTTTCGTGTCCGCCTTGGCCTGCCCACCACGGCTTTCAATTTCCTAACTTTTTCTCTACCCGGTATGTTCCCCAAGCTTTCCTCCAACAATACTCCTCCCTCATTTCTCCTGCCTCTCCCCACAAGTCCGCATCCGAGTCTGTTTGTTCTAAGCTTTCACTTTCGCTTTCGACCTTAGAGATTTCTCCCAGCTTCCCCCCGTAGTCCGTATCTGAGTCTATGCCTAGGCTTTCAATACGACTTCTTCCGGCACCCTTTTCGTCCGGCTTTTCCTAGGCTGTTTGCTAGTCTCTCGCTCCAGTATTTTTCCCAGTTCTTCCGGTTTCTTCCCTCCTAAGTTTGCTATCCTCTTAGGTTTCCTATCCGTCCTAGGTTTCCTATCCGAGTCAGGTTTCCTATCCGAGTCACGTTCCTATCCGAGTCACGGCACCATTATGTCGCTCCCCTCTCTTCGTGGAGGAACGACACTAAGCCCTGCCTAGGCTTCATATCCGAGTCACGGCACCATTATGTCGCTCCCCCTCTTCGTGGAGGAACGACACAGGACCCTGCGCTGTTCTTTCGTCTGCTCGGCCCTCCCCGGGTTTGCTGCGGTTCTTCCCGGGTTGGCTACTATCCCTTCCACCTCCGTGGAAGGGCAGCTCCCCCTGGCCACATTCCCCACTTCCGCAGGGGAGCGGCACACCGCCGGCCGGCCTCTTCTCGGGGGCTGCACGGGGGCTGCACAGGTGTTCCCCTTAGATGTTCCCCATAGATGTTCCTGGTGCATGCCGTCTCTCTCCTCCTTTATAGTCCTCCTCCGCCAATCCAACTCGGCTGCCCCACGCCGAGTACGCTGCTCTCCTCCAATCAGGAGCAAGTCCTACAATTTATTAGTTGAACTGGAGGCAGCTGTGCGGAAGCTGTTTACCTTCTCTCCCAGAGCCAGATTTGTGGGAGAGCAGATGCATAGAATAAGTCTTAATTCGAGTAACTTAGTCCTGTCCGGATTGCTCCCCACAACAGGGGTTTTATTTTTAATGTTAATAAACTACCTTGTTACCAGACCTACTTTTCCCTTCTACTCTCCATTTCAGTAACATTCATTTACCCACTGACAAAGCTCGTGAAAGAAGCCAATATGTTTTGCAGAATCACAGTATGTTCCAGACTTTAACAATAATGTATTTCGGAATGACTTGCTCTGTAACACATTGTGATGACTGACCCATAAGCAAATACTATTGCCTGCCGTGGTAGTGAAAGCGCTCAAGCACACCATGAACAAAAGGACACATGTTAAGTGTTATTACAAAAGAAACACTGGTTGAATGACAGAGATTGTCCTAAACAGATACTAAGATAAATCTTGATACAAACCCACATTGCTATGCATCACTAATCTCAACACCTTTAAACAGTCTTGATAGATAACAGTATCTATCTTCAAAGGCATTTATAAAGAGGAAATACAATTTCCTAGAAATTATTTAGAATATATGCCAATCACAGTAAAACATTAAAATAATGATGCCAATTATATTTTGTATAGCAATGCATAAGTTACAATATACTTAATTATTAATTAACACAATGCTTGTATTCTTTTCCTAACCTTTATTTTGTTGTGAAACATAAGATTCAATAAATTACATAAAGCTTGATTTTTCAGATCACAAAGTATTATCCATGGAAATGAAGTAAACCAAATGTCATTGTCACTGCACCTGTAAATCAAGATAAATAATGCCTCTAGCATTTCAGAAGCCCAGATTATAACAGCTTCCCTCTTTGGAAGTTACTATATCAATTTTTGAAAAAATTATGATTCCATTGGTCATTCTACTTCTTCACATGTCCATGTGTATATATGTACTTGTATGTTTATATATAAAGCATAGAAATTTATTTTGCCCATTTAAAACATTGTATAACTGGAATTATTTAACTTGTGTTCTTTGTATCTAACTTCCTTTGCCCAACATGATTTTTAAATTAATCTGCATTTCAGCCGGCACGTGGCTCACTAGGCTAATCCTCCGCCTGCAGCACTGGCACCCTGGGTTCTAGTCCCAGTTGCTCCTCTTCCAGTCCAGCTCTCTGCTGTGGCCCAGGAGGGCAATGGAGGATGGCCCAAGTGCTTGGGTCCCTACACCCACATGGGAGACCCGGAGGAAGTACCCAGCTCCTGGCTTCGGGTTGGCACAGCACCAGCCGTAGCGGCCATTTGGGGGGTGAATCAATGGAAGGAAGACCTCTCTTTCTCTCTCTCTGTCTAACTCTGCCTGGCAAAAAATTTAAAAAAAAAATTAATCTGCACTTCATTGACTTTCCTCACTCTATGTATTTTATCAAATGCCTGTGCCACCTTCTATTTTTTTTCTACTCTGGAGGACATTTCAGTTGTTTATAGTTTGATAACACCACCAATGATGCGACTATGAACATTTTGTACAGGTATCCTAGCCTGATTCAGTCTTACTCTTGAAAACGTGACTCCTGTTTTTCTATTTCAGAATATATACAAGTGGAATTCCTTGTTCCTGAAGTACTGTCACCATCACTAGTTTTGTTGAGACAATTTCCAAAGCAGCACAATGTCCGTGCCTTCCCGTTGCTCCTCCTCCTCTGCAACACCTGACACTCTAATTGTCAACACTGTGATGGGTAAGACTCAATGTGAGGTTACTTTCAATTAATTTAGTTCTTTATTTGAGAAGAAAAACAGAGAGAAAGGCAGAAAGGGACAAAGACTGTACCTACTGACTCACTCCCCAAATATCCACAATGTCCTGGGCCAAGCCAAAGCCAGGAGCTGGGAACTCAACATGGGTCTCCCACATGCATGATAGGAGCCCAATTACTTGAGGTATCACCTGCTGCCTCCCTGGGTGCACATTCACAAGCAGCTGGAGTCGAGAGTCTGAGTTGGGAATGGAACCCAGGCTCTTCAATATGGGATCTGGGCAAACGCCTGCCTCTCAGTGTGACATCAACTTGTATTTCACTTGACTTACTTTTCAGAAGTGTATCAAGGGTCTTCAAAAAGTTCACAGAAAATGTATGCTATGAAAAAGTTATTTGTGGAGGGGCTGGCATTGTGGCACAGCCGGTCCAGCATCCCAGTGAGCCCCTGTTTGAGTCCCAGCTGCTTCATTTCTGGTCCAGTTCCCTGCTAATGCACCTGGGAAAGGTAGCAGAAGATGTCCCAAGTGTTTGGGCCCCTGCCACTCAAGTGGGAGACCCAGATGGAGTTCCTAGCTTCTGGCTTTGGCCTGACCCAGCCCTGGCTGTTGTGACCATTTGGGGAGTGAACCAGTACATGGAAGATATCGCGCTCTCGCTCGCTCTCTCTCTCTCTCTCTTCCCCCTTAAGGATGTGCTACACACAGAAACACAGAGAGATAGCCATCATTATGAAAGAATGTAAAGGCAGAAAATCCCCAGTAAAAGTACAAAAGAAATTCAAAGTAAACAATGGGAATATTATGGGAAAATGGCAGAGCCAAGTTGTTACTTATCAATAGTCATGTTGAATGTAAATGGCTTCACCTCTCCAGTAAAAACCAGACTGGCTGAATGGATTAAAAAACAAGACTCATCTATTTGCTGCCTACAAGAAACACCTCTCATCAACAAAGATACAAACAGACTGAAAGTGAATGGATGGAAAAAGATACTCCATGCCAACAGAAACCAAAAAGAACTGGTATACGATCCTAATATCAGACAAAATAAACTTCAACTTGAAAACTGCTGAAAAAGACAAAGAAGGGCACCATGTAATGATTAAGGGATCAATTCAACAGGAAGAAGTGACTATTGTAAACGTACATGCACCTAGTTACAGTCACCTGGTTATTTAAAGAAATGTTAATGGATCTAAAGGGAGATAGGACTCAATACAATAGTAATGGGGTGGAGGGAGGTCAGACCAAGGCAACAGGACCAGTCTCACAGGGCAAAATAGCTAATAAGGAAGGGGTATATAAGCCAGCAGTGACAGAGCCATGAGAATTTCATGCAGAGAAGCCCAGGAGTCCAACAGAGACTGAGCAGGCCCACACTGAGGGAGCAAAAGTGGTGGAAGAGCAGTGGAGAAACCGAACCTCGAGACTGACACCACCCCCACCCCCGGCAGACCAGGCGAGACACGAGGTCTCAAGTCCACGGAGCTGTGGGTAGAAGTGGGCGGGGGAGCCTGGTGAACTGTGTTTGAAGTTCCAAGCTGGAAGAACAGGGGAACAAATGGAGAGGTTGGGCACCTCCTACCATCCATGTCTCCCCCTCCCCACAATCAGACCTGCAGCCTGCTGGGAGAAGCCATATTATTTGTTTACATCTTCAAATGTAAGCAGGGGGCTACTGCTTTGCTGCTCATGCTCATGTCCGTCAATTGGGGGGGCCACTTCACAAGACCCCAGAAATAGGATCACAACATTCCAGAGTAATTTCCCCACCACCAGCAGCAAGCTGTACAACAAGGAGAAGTACTAAATATCGAAATCTCGAGCTGGTTCCATGCACAAGCGAGAAGCAAGCCCAACCCCAAAAGGCAGGGCTTAGTGCATCAGAGCTCTCGTACCTGCCCCATCAAGATCAAGAAGTGAACAGGACGACTCCTGGAGGCGGCCCTGCGTGCTTCCATTTGCAACACACAGACACATAGCAGCTCATAGCAGTGGGAAATCTCACTGTTAGGTAGGAAGTCAGATATGAGCTTATGTGTGTATGACATAAAGGCTTAAAGAGAAGACGTCTATGTCCAGCATATGCATCTGCATCTCAAAGTCATCCCAATAACGTTTCAGGGGCAGCCCAGTGTTCACATCCTGCACTGCCCCTTCCTACCCCATAATCTGCCAGGTGGGGTCCCTGCCCCTTCTGCCTGACAATCTTCCACAATCGCAGCCCAGTATCTGAATTTAAAATACCCTGCTCCAGATCCTGGGTTAGGATGGTGCCAGCTAGGCTTCCTCCTGTCTGATACCTTCAGAGGAAAACCCAGATAGGAGCTTCTTACTATTTGCATCCATAAAATCCTTTGTTTCAGGAGATGTGTGAAGACAAATACTCATCTCCTTAAAAACCCCCAGCCTCCACCGGACGGTGCGCTCTGCCTCTCTGCTGAGCTGCCTGCCTGCCTGGCCAGGTGTAATCTCTCCATTCAACCATGTAACCTCGTCCCCCCCCCCCCGCCCGCCCCAGTCCAAGTGACTGCGCACTCTCTCTCAGGTCCTATCTGGAGAGGTGCCCATCCGTTCTTACGAATGTCCCTTCCCTAATAAACTTTGCTATTTTACTACTCTGTCTCACGCCTGAATTCTTTCTTGCAAAGACAAGAACTCTGCCATTCACAGTAACATCACCACAAGCACCAAGACACATATTTAAGAGAAAAGCAACCGGAAATGCCAAAAAAACAAAGGAAAAAACCTTAATAAGGATAAGAAAGACAGTATGAGTCCCTCCCAAAGGAATACTACAACTCTTCAATAATAGAAGCTGGAGAAGAGGCTGAGGTTATGCCAGAAATGGAATTCAGAAAATTAATCATCAGATTACTTAGAAGCAATCAGAAATAAACTCACAATCTAAATGAAACATGTTCCCAAGAAATTGAGATATTAAAGAGAAGTCAGTATGACCTTGTCTAAATAAGATTGGAGTTGGTGAACTCAAAAGGCTTCCATAGCCTTGGCAACCCATGATAAGAGCCTAGGGTGATTACTGATGCCATAAACAAGAGTGTCAATTGTTAAGTCAACAACAGGAGTCATTGTGCACTTACTCCCCATGTAGGATCTCTGTCCTTAATGTGTTATACTATGCAAATTAATGCTATAACTAGTACTCAAACAGTACTTTACACTTTGTGTTTCTGTGTGGGTGCAAACTGTTGAAATCTTTACTTAATATATACTAAATTGATCTTCTGTATATAATGATAATTGAAAATGAACCTTGATGTGAATGGAATGGGAGAGGGAGCTGGAAATGGGAGGGTTGCAGGTGGGAGGGAAGTTACGGGGGGGGGGGCACTGTAATCCAAAAGCTGTACTTTGGAAATTTATGTTTATTAAATAAAAGTTAAAAAAAGAGAAGTCAGAATGAAATACTAGAAATGAAGAATTCCATAGTTCAAATAAAAAATGCAGTGGAAAGCCTTAACAATAGAATAAGTGAGACAGAAAAAAGAATATCAGACTAGAAGACAATTTTCTGGAAATAATAAGGTCAGACCAAACACAAGAAGAAGAAATTAGGAAACTGAAAAACATGGTAGGAGATCTACAAGATTCTATCAAACGACCCAACACACAGATCCTAGACTGCCAGAAGGCATGGAGAGAAAGAATTAGAAGGCCTTCTTAATGCAATAATAACAGAAAACTTCTGCAATCTGGAGAAAGAGACATCCAAGTACAGGAAGTACACAGAATTCCCAAAAGACAGGAAGAGAAAAGATCTGCACCTTGACACATTGTAGCATAGCTCTCCTCCATAACGCATAAAGAAAAGATCTTAAAACCTGCAGGAGAGAAAGACAAATCACACTCAGAAAACCCAATTAGATTCACTTCCAACTTCTCATCACAAACCCTAAAGACAAGGAGAGAATGGAAGACATACTCCAAGTCCTAAGGGAAAAAAATTGTCAACCCAGAATACTGTACCCTGCAAAGCTCTCATTTATGAATGAAGGAAAAATAAGGATCTTCCACAACAAACAGAAATTGAAAGAATTTCTAACTACCTGCACAGCCCTAAAAAGATGTTCAAGGATGTGCTACACACAAAAACACAGAAACAGGAACATCCCTACAAAAGTAGTTGAATGCAGAAAATGACCCAGCAAAAGTACAAACAAAATTCAAAAACAGAACTATTTACAGAAACATGGCAGGGCAAAGTCGGCACTTAACAATACGTATGGTGAATGTAAATGGCCTGAACTCACCAGTTAAAAGACACAGACTAGCTGAATGGATTAAAAAAGAAAATCCATCTATTTGCTGCCTACAAGAAACATATCTTTCAACAAAGATGCATGCAGACTGAAAGTGAAAGGATGAAACAAGATATTCCACGCTAACAGAAACCAAAAAAGAGCTGGTGTGGCCATCCTAAATCAGACAAAATAAACTTTAACACAAAAACTATTAAAAGAGATAAAGAAGGGCACTATACAATGATTAAAGGATCAATTCAACAGGAAATGTGACTATTATAAATGTATATGCACATAATAACAGGGCACCTGGTTATTTAAAAGAAATGTAAAGGGAGATATAGATTCAAATACAATAGTAATGGGGGACTTCAATACCCCACTTTCAGCAATGGACAGATCAATGAGGCAGAATATCAAAAAAGAAATAACAGAGTTAATCAATACCATAGACAAAATAGACCTATTAGCCTATTAGCTATCTATAGAGCCTTCCACCCTACAGCCACAGGGTACATCTTATTCTACTTGGTACATGGAACTTTCTATAGGATTGACCACATACTAGGCCATAAAGCAAGTCTAAGCAAATTCAAGCAAATCAAATCATGCCATGCATCTTCTCGGACCACAATGCAAGGAAACTGAAAATCAACAACTCAAGAATCTCTACATTATATGAAAACACATGGAGAATGAACAACATGTTCCTGAATGCACAGTGGGTCATAGAAGAAATCAAAAGAGAAATCAGAAAATTTCTGGAAACAAATGAAGACAACAATACAACATACCAAAATTTGTGGGATACAGCAAAAGCAGTGTTAACAGGAAACAACTCTCCCAGAACTTATTGGTAAACCCTTCTATAAACAACTTATATTTATTTTAGTAACTAACCATATGAATGCCATCTTTATTAAAGTACATATGGTACATGTGGTCTTGGTTGACATAAAATATTCTGTTGAGATAAAAGGAATAAAAAGCACATACCTCATCAAATATGACATAGCGCATTCTTTCTGTCCATTTCTGATAATGAGGTGATAGCAAGAGTATTTCCAAACACTGAGGCACTGTTACTAATATCTGTTTTTTTTTTAAAAAAAGCTGTTTTAATTTCCAAACATTAATAAGAAATTTTATGACACACTATATCCATCTTGACATTTCCATGTTCAAAAAATATTTCATTAATGTGAAAGTAAAATGAATATGTACAACTGATCCCCACATATGCTGCCACTGATACACTCAAAAGCAGTTAAGTTTGTTTCATTAAGAAACATTCTCTTGGGGCTGGTGCTGTGATGTAGCAGGTAAAGCCGCTGCCTGCAGTGCCAGCATCCCATATGGGCACCAGTTCTAGTCTCGGCTGCTCCACTTCTGATTCAGCTCTCTGCTATGGCTTGGGGAAGCAGTAGAGGATGGCCCAAGTGCTTGGGCCCCTGTACCCATGTGGGAGACCAGGAAGAAGCTCCTGGCTCCTGGCTTCGGATCACCACAGCTCCAGCCATTATGGTCAGTTGGGGAGCGAACCAGCAGATGGAAGACCTCTCTCTCTCTCTGCCTCTCCTCTCTCTGTAGAACTCTTTCAAATAAATAAATAAATCTTTTTAAAAAAAAGAAATATTCTCTGGCACAGTATTCTGGGAATACAAAAGTCACCATGTCCTGAAACCATCTCTACTAAAGAGGAAGTTGCTTCCTCAGGCTAAAATTTCAGAAAAGTAATGCATTCTCTTTACGTAACATTTATGTAATGTAAACATTTAATAATTAATATAGAATTAAAATATCATCAGTAATCAAATTCTTAGATAAGAAAAATTATACAAACCATCTAGCCCAATATAAATACATCTATCAGGGTAGCTGTGGGTTTCATGTTACCCCATTAAAACCCTACGTGTCTCCCAGAGTGCCACATTCACACTACGACTCATCACGCGGACAGCTGTGACGTACCTGACAGTTCAAGGTGTCGTGGCGGTAATCCCTTGTGAAAACTCCACACACCACTGAGCCTTTCGGCAGTGCTTTAGTAAACAAATTGTAGACAGTTCCCACCACCTGGTTAACCAGAGCCTGCAGTCACAAAAGACAGAGTGAGCGGCTACTCAGTAAACTATCAACAATGCTGCAAAAAAACTGGTTCAAGCAAACCCCACGTCTGGAACCACTGATACGCAACAATGCAGTACCGAACTGGTAACAATTCTGCCCTAATAAGGCAATACCTCACAGCAAATCCTTCCACCAATTCCATTTAAGTTTTCTAAATGTTATATAATACAATGCAGTGCCTGTTGATGGGATGGCCAGCAACAAAAACACAAACAGTGGTTCCTCGTCCCGTCAGTGTAATATGTGCTGATACAGGTAATATTAGATGGCGCCTGTATTTTACAATGCTGAACAGTAATGGGCACAGCACTGAAGCTCACTAAGCTCCCGCGTCCTCATCAGTGAAGGATGTGGCTCGTGGGACGCAGGGCCCCTCCCCACACTGGCTCCTCGCAGTGCAGCTGTAAGCCTGGGAATTAAGTATTTGCTAGGGAAAGTGAGAGGAAGGAGTGTATCCCAAAACCCCTTTTGAGAGAAAAAGAATATTTATTTCGCAAGTGCCCTTTAACTCTACTTCACCCAGGTTGCTGCAAAGGAAGAAACCCATGGCCCCTGTAAGAATCCAAGGCTCTTCCATCAGGCACCTGCCCAACCCCAGAGCTGGTAAAACTGAGGGGAGAAGCGCCTCTCTCTCTCTCTCTCTCTCTCTCTCCTCTCCCTCTCTCTCTCTCTCTGAACTTGTCTGTCCTCTCTTAAGTACACAAGCCTGGCACCAACACCAAATCATTCCATTGGCAAGACTCTCAGAAGTGTCCAGCCCTGTCTTTTCACAAGTGCTGGCCCTAGGGAGATTTATGAGAGAACACTAATAAACAAATGCTTGTGAATGGCACATTTACCCATCATTATTCATGCCCAGACAGTACACTGGATGCCTGGTGTGCCTTGTCTCAGGTCACGCTCGGAACAACAGCATAAAGTAAGTGGTGCCGTGTCTCCTTGCAGGTGGAAAACATGCCAGGAAACTGGCCAAGGGCACACAGCACATGAGCACCAAGCCCACGACTGTGTGACACTGGAGGCTGGGCACTACCAGGTGGGACACACGGCTACGGTAGAGGAACACCCCTAGAACAGCGCAGGGTCACAGGGCACGATACCTTTGTGGGCGCGACGTACACGGCCACTCCGTCATCGCTCTCCCGCAGGACTTTCCCCATGCAGTAGTAGGAGGCGTAGGTTTTCCCTGATGAGGTTGGAACAACAATCACAGCCGACTCATTGTTATCTACGACATCCAGGAGTTCCCTCTGAGGGAAAAAAAATCACCTTTCATTGGAAAATGCATCTTCACTGTCCATTTTTAAGTTAGCTTCAACTAGCTCTTAGACTAGTGTTTACAGTTCTGAGACCTGCTAGTGCTCAAGATGGCAGGAATCACCACTTCCGGCTATGTGCAAATAACCCAAATCACTGGAGACAGGAAAGTCCTTACTTAAACTTAGATTTAAAAACCCTCTAATACAGCAGAGGACAGTGCCATGGGTCTGTAGCCTGGCTCTTGGAGTTCTTTTAGTTCAGATTAGGGAAACCTCATGCTGAGACGGAATTACCAAAACCTGTTGCTCTTTTCATTTCCATGTTTCATTAATTATGGTCAGCGAATGATTAAGGTGTAGAAAAGAAGTTTTTCAAAAAATACATAATAGGATCCGTGACACATCATGATGTATTATGAGTGACTGTGGTTGAACAATTGGACAACCCAAAAGCAACACTACTTTAAAAAAAAAAAAAAACGGTATATTTTGCCAAATATACATCAGGCACCTATTTTGTTATGTGAATTAAGTGGCTGCACAGAATTGGAGTGTATAGTTGGGTTCTTGTTTGTTTTGTTTTTGCTTTTGTTTTTATTTGAGGGGCAAAGACACAGATAGACAAAGACAGGTCCCATCTGCTGGTTCACTCCCCAAATGGCTAGAAACTGGGAACTCAATCCAGGTCTCCCCTGTGAATGGCAGGATCCCAATCACTTGAGCTTTCACTGCTGCCTCCTAGCGTGCATTAGCAAGAGCTGGAGTCAGACGCTGCACGTGACACCCAAGCACTATGGTTTGGGACGCGGCGTCCTGACCAATGGCTTCACAACCAGGTCAAACTGCTGCTTCTCAATGCATTGCTTCCCATACTCCATTTAAGAGAACCAGTGTATCTGTCACTCAACTGACTCGTCACTGCATTGCTTTATCTCTTGGGCCAAGACATGATTTACTTTTCTTGTCATTAAGTCGCTTTCTAGAACAACAGGCATTTTCAAAATTTGTCGCACACAATGAGGTCTGAACACACAGTTTCACCGAAGCGTCTTTGCCTTTCCATACGACAGATCTTTTAGAGAAATACCTGCCACGTGTCCGGTATAAAATGATGCACCCGGCGATCTGGATCACTTCTTTCTTCTCGGAACAAGTAAGGGCCCATGTGCGTTAACTGAAACCGAGCGGCTCCCATGTGAACTGAGTATTAGAAATATCCTTCCCAGCACCTGACTCCTTCCCCTAAAATAAGTATGGTGCATTAGACCTCTGTACGACTTTACAATTCCTAACCTGGGCATGCAGGAATTATTCCCAATCCTGTTGTAGTTTGCTTTGCCTCAGTGAGATTATTTTTTCATGTTCTTTCAATAAGCTGCAACTCTTAAAACTGGATAACCCAATTTTGGAGTTACCAGAGGGTAAAAGTGCCACTCAACTTAATATATCATTACAATAGCACAGGGAACATTGAGGCTATATTCAGTATAATTTTTTAAATATCATTTTTATGGCAAGATCATTTTCCATGGCATATAAGTAAAAGACAATATGAAATTGATCTTTTGTTACAAATTAGTAAAATCTTTGATAACTGTTCCACAATTATTACACACACACACACACACTCACACACACTAAAACTGTATTTCCTTTAAGGAATTTTTCTGACCTTAAAAAGGCATCTTTGGTAAAAATAAATATCTCTGTAAAGATCTATATAACAAATACCTATCATCTTACAAGTCAAACTATTTTACTCAGAGAATTCCACCCAATGGGTCAACAGCTCTTACTACAGGGCCTCAACATCACAGGAAATTCACGTGCTTGGCTGAGCCTCCATTCTCAGAGTTCTGACAAAACTGGATTATGATCATATTAGCCATGCATGGAAAACATAAACTTCTGTGCCAAAGTGTTCTCACTGTCAATCAACACCAAGACATGTTTGGACACAATGATGGCTTGGAGCAGAGAAGACTTCATTTAAAAATTGCCAAAAACTATTAATGGAAAATGTTTAAAAACAAGCTTTTTAAAATTTATTTACTTTCTCATTTAAGAAATTAAAAAGTAATAGCAGTTTTGGTCATGCAATGTTTAAGCAAATATCCTATTTCAAATCTACAGCTGTTGGAAATAGCTAGATTCCCGTTCTGATCATCACCATCAAGGTTTTCTTGTTTTATTTTTTTAGAGAGAGAGTTGCTTTCCTAGAGCTTATAGGTCTCCAAGTCTCTTAAAGGAGTGAGGAACAGCTCTCCTCCCTTCAGACAAACCCTATACCTGTGCAACATAAGGTAGGCATAGAATAACCAAAGGAAGGGATTTGTGTGACAGACTCATAATTTCCACTCTTGATGTTCACATCCTGCATTAAGATAATTCTTTCCAATGAAATTAGTTTCTCTATCCTCATGGCTTCAAAGGCCTTCTTAAATATGTCAGTCTTCCTGATAGAAGGCTTATTAGATGGGATAGTTAAATTTTGTCTGTGGCACTTGGGGAACAGAGATGTAGGGCTCCTTCCATGTTTGCATGATAGGAAACCTGACCTCAGACCCTTAGTGAATCTACAGAATCACCAAAGACTGGTTGAAAGTATTCCTGAGATGAGCAGAGCGAGATACACCAAGGAAGGGGCCACAGGCCCTGCTGAGATTCCCAGCAAGGCTAACCTAGCAAAGACGGGGGTCCCAGTGAAGCGTAAGGAAAGTCAGAAAGCCTAAAATGGGGAGATTTGGCATAGGAAGTGGAGAGCTACCTATATCTCCTCTTTTTGGCTTCTCACCCTGAGCTGGTATCTCTCCCCACATCCCTTATATTTCTCTACTTACAGAAATATCTCCACTCTAAGACCATGCAGTACCCCAAGCATGTCTTCATAATTTCTAAAAACACTATTTTAAAGGCATTACTTGAAGAGATTTTTTTAAAAAATTTATTTAGTTGAAAGGCAGACTTACAGAGAGAGAAAGGCAGAAGTAGAGAGAGAGAGAGAGAGGTGTTCCATCTGCTGGTTCACTCCCCAACTGAGCACCATGGCTAGAGCTGTGCTTATCCGAAGCCAGGACCCAGGAGCTTGGGCCATCTTCCATTGCTTTCCCAGGCCATAGCAGAGAGCTGGATTGGAAGTGGAGCAGCTGGGTCTTGAACCAGCACCCGTATGGGATGCTGGCACTGCAGGTGGTGGCTTAACCCTCTATACCACAGCACTGGCCCCTTGAAGAGATATTTTGACCTACAATTTTTCTCTGGGGCCAGCATTGTGGCTCAAGGGGTTAATCTTCCACCTGCAAGGTCAACATCCATATTCCAGTCCCATCTCTCTGCTAATGCACCTGGGAAAGCAGCATAAGATGATCTAAGTATTTAGGGATCTGTGATCCACATTGGAAACCAGAATAGAGTTCCTGGCTCCTGGCTTCACCTTAGCCCAGGCCTAGCTATTACAACCATTATGGGAGTGAATCAGTGTATGGAAGATTTATTCTCTTCTAAAAGTTAACTAAAGATAAGGCATGACAAGAACCATGACCAAAAAGTGTTCCACTTCTATGAAATTTGCACACAAATTTTTGAAACAATGAACATATGAATAAAATACAAACAAAAAAATTCAGACAATGACATATGTGTAAGAGTTATCTGTAACCCCAGTTCTTTGCAGCTCAATTCACAATAGCCAAGATACAGAATCAACCCAGATGTCCAACAACTGATGACTAGATAAAGAAATTATGGTTTATATACACTATGGAGTACCACTCAGTGATAAAAAAAAATGAAATCTTGACTTTTGCAACAAAATGGATGCAACTGGAAACCATTATACTTGGTGAAGTAAGCCAGTCCCAAAAAGACAGATACCATATGTTTTTCCTGATCTGTAGTAACTAACAGAGTACTTAAAATGTAATGTATTGGAATTAAATTGACATTTTGAGATTTGATGACTGTTTATAGCCCTTGTCTCTACTGTTAAGGGATGGTGGTTTTTTTTTTTTTTTTCTTTCATACTATTTGTTGAACTATTTAGTGTAGCAGGGTTAATCTTAGGAGTTTCAAGTAAACTGAAAATATATCATTGTAAAAGTTGAGAGTGGGAACAGGAGAGGGAGGAGGAAGAACAGTTGGAGCATGGGTGGGAAGGAGGGTATAGTATCACCATGTTCCTAATCCGTATATATGAAATACACAAAATTTGTATACATTAAAATTAAAAAAAGGAGAGAAATAAGGACATGTCTTAGTGGCTTCCTGGGTAGGGAGAAGAGTGTAAGAAAGGCTACACAATACTAGATGGTCTCCAGTGAAGACTCACCACAGCGTTGCATTCATCTGGCACAGGCACAGGGAAAAGCAGCAGCCCGGCTATGAGCTGAGGGGATGAACTACCGAAAACAGCTGCCGCAAAACTCCACAGCAAACATAGTTCTCTGTACTCAACAGAATCTGTTGGAACTAGTAGCAGAGGTAACTAGGGACCCGATGTGTATAGCCCTGGCATCCTGGGTAAGATGGGAAGTCGGTTGTGTGGATAAATATGAATCCTAGAAAAATACACAGTCATAAACATTAGACCTGTGTCTATACAGTATAATGCATGGTTAACTGTGAACTATTAGCTTAATCTAATGTATACTGATTCTCAATATATTCAGAATATACAGTTCTGGTGACAGGTATTGATTCTCAATATATCCCATAAAATATTTCACAGACACACACATACACACACACTCACACGAATGTCAAGTAGTATCTTCCATGGCATTTACCTGAGGACATAACGTGTGTGCCAAGTTGTCAAACCCGATATATTTTAGATATTTGGCTAATTTTTGCCTGTGTGTATTCTGTAACAATTCTGAGTATTTCTCGTGCAGTATGTGAATCCTCTTCATCATCTGAATTACCACATTTATATCTTTGGATTCTGCTTCTGTTGAAGTAAAATAATTGCACGACCTAAGTGAAGCAAGAGAGTGATAACAACCCACACTCTACCCCAGCGCTGACTTAATTTTAAGATTTTAAAGAAAGCATATTCACATGAACCACTCACAATAATCAAAGAACTCACAACTCCCAGTTCTGCATGACAATTAAAAGTGTGGGCTCCTAGATTCTAAAAGTGCTGCTAGACTTAGCAAGCGAAAAACAGGAAGCCTGCTTTGACAAAAACTACAGGGCACATATTCACAAAATTCATCACACACCTGAAATGCAAACTTAACGTGCCTTTTCTGACATAGAAACATGGCAAATTACTTCTCTCAGCCTTGTTTTCTTTCTCTGTATAAGGGAGATATTAACCACAGGGCTCACCTCACATGGCTATTATCAAGATTAAACAAAATAATCTACATAAAATGATACAATAATTTCCTAAGAACATGACCATTCTATACTCTTTTATTACTCTTCTAATAATTACTTTTCTGTGACCACAATTAAGAGATAAATATTTTTTATCTTATCTCCAATCAAAATTGCTCATTCTTGGGCCTTCAGCCATGACACTGTGGTTATATCCCAATTTATTACTTATTCAATTTGTGCATATAGATTGAAGTAAACTTTTCATTAAAAATGTTGCTGTGTCACTGACATTCAGGCACATAATTGGTTCTCCTAGGGCTTTACGTATTATATCAAGATAGGAAGCCTATCCCAAAGAATTGTGAGAATTTAACAATTTTGTGTGTGTGTGTGTGTGTGTGTATGGTATTTGGCCAATAGCTGGCTATGAAGAACTGTCTGCTGCATTGACTTCTGAGTTGACTCTTTCCACCAATGCCTTTCACACACAAACAACTGTGGATCCAACAAGAGGAAATCCTTCTAAGACTTCACAAGAGTTCCATAATCACAGAAGAATCAATGCCAGCTCTTTTGCTGTCCTTATTAATCTCTGATTTCAAGAAACTTCTAGAATTGATGTCCTTATATACCTGGTTTTAGACAGCATTCTTTCCATAATTTGAAACAGGCATCCAATCCAACCATTTCTGCAATAAATTTTACAGATTTAACAGCACATATCTGGAGAAAATCTTCTAGTCTTTTGATTCCAGAGTGAAGATTCTCTTTAATTTCTTTTTCAATAGAGACAAATTATTCCATCTCTCTTCCTCCTTTTTCTCTAGTTTAGCTAGTTGTCTCTTTTGATTTTCTTCAATAAGTTTTTCTGCATTTTTCTTCTAAAAAATAGAAATAAAATTAAATAAACATAAAAGCAATTGTTTCCAGATTAATACTTTTTATATTTGGAAGGAAATATTTAATATCTTGGACTATTAGTTTAGCATTCAGAGCACTTAAGGACATCAAATTGGACCTTTGGTGTTGCAAAGAATTAAATGTAAATATCTTTTTTTATACACAAAGATGGTAATTGGCTATTCCTTTTCTCTATCTTCTCAGCTGCTAACCCCTTAGTCCATTATACTGAAAGCCAGTGTTTAGGCAGTCCAGATCTGTGCTGAGTCTAAGAAACACCCAACAAAGGTCCAATGAGGATAAGTATCTTTTATATGACCAGACCAACTGGTAAAATTACAAAAACTCCCTGGGGTGTGACACATTGCACTGTATAGAAATCAAATACAACTCTTGTGCAGTGGTAGCCAAGAGAACAGGATATGATGAAAGCAGTTATGAATAGATAAAAATCAGACCTAAAATTGCAATAGCTGGAATACTGCTTGCAATGGAAAATGCCACCATGGCCATTCTCTGGCTAACTCTCTTGTCCAGTTCCCAGGGCGCATCTTTACTTAGCCCAGCCTTCCACCCCCAGTATGGAAATACAGGCCATCTAAGAATATCTGAGCACTAGCAAATGACACCAGCTCCTCAGGGGAGTGCACACCCTACGCAAGAGGAGAAAGTATGCTTGCAGAGTACGGTCTACAGGATAACAGCCCCATGACTGCACTTCCTAAAGCACCAAAAATGAGCACTAAGAAAAAATTTTTAAGCAAATACAGAGGGGGCTTCAGAAATGCACCAAAATGTATATTATTTTTTAAAAAATGCTTGGATTTCAAAATTTTTGCACTGATATAAAGTTATCTAATTTTATTTGAACATAAACTTTTCAATATCTATTAATTCAAACTTTATTTGAAAGGCAGAAAGATAGAAAGATGAAAAGAGATCTCCCATCTGCTGGTCCACTCCCCAAATGCCCACAATAGTCAGGGCTGGGCTGGGCTGGGCTGAGGTCTTCTATTTGAGTGGCATGGACCCCAGTGTTTGAGTCATCCTCTGCTGCTTCCCAGGGTGTGCGCTATCAGGAAGCTGGATGAGGAGCAGAGCAGCCAGAACTTGAACCAAGCACTCCAACACGGGATGCAGGCATCCCAAGCAGCAACTTTAGTACTGTGCCAAAGGCCCACTCTCCCACGGACTTTCTGAAGTTCCCTCATCATAGGGTTTAGCAGTCAATAAGCAAAATAATAATAACAATGGCAAATAGTAAAGGAGATAAAATAGAAAGTCACAGGGGAAGAAACACAAATAGACTAATACTCATATCACTGGTATTTGAATTTGCAATCAAAATCTCTTGTTGAGATGATGTTAAACAAAAAAGCAGGCACACTCACAGAATGATACTGGGTATCTCTGTGGTTAAACAGAAAAGAGCACCAGGGTTATAACAGTAAAATAATGCACACATATTAAAGATTAAAAAGGAAACAAAGAAAAATAAACATGGAATATTATGCAAATATTAAAAGGGAAAGTTTATTGTTCACTCATTGCAATAAAAAGTTTTAGAAAGCACACTGTTTAATGGGAAAAAAAAAGTATAAAGCCATATGTAAACTGTAAAACTGTGCGTGTTAGTAAGTGTGTATAGACTGTAAGTATTTGGAAGGATGTTCACCAAAGTTAATAGGACCAGGTCTTTGAAGAAGGTAAAATGTTAGTTATTTTTCACACTTTAAGTACCTTTCTGAATAGCCTGAATTAGCTGTGTGTGTGTGTGTGTGTGTGCTGGATTTTTCTATTAAAGTTGCTTAAAATTTGGGAAATAACATACTATTGTGAATTTATTGTATATTTAATGATACAGAAAGAAGTCAGCTATACTATTAGTAGATGTGGAATACATATAGAAAAAACAACAGACAATATAGGACTGCACAGGTTTATGCCAAAATAGTCATACAGTTACTTGTGGGACGTGAGAATGTGGATTTTTCTTTTCTTTTCCTTACTTGTTTTTCTATATTCCAACAAAGAAATAACTAAACAAACCACGACATTGCCATATTATGGAGGAGTATCCATCCACAAAATTATGTTGCAAAAGATGTTTAATAACACTGGAGAGAAGTGTGACTGAGGGAATTCACCAAAGCATTCCCAGTGCTCAATTCTGTGCCGGTCCCATTAGGATTTTGTTTTCTTCGTTACACCTCCCTTCATTTTCCCAGTGTTCTAAAAGGAGAATAAGGTCCTTTATCTGTTATAATTCATGGTTAGTACTTGGGAGTATTTTTTTAAACAAAATATTTTTTTCTCCAATAACATGAGATTACCAGTGTTGCCATGCTGAGTAAAGTTAACACAGGTCTCACAGGGTGGGAGTAGAGTCTCAAGCCCCCACAGCAATGAGCTCCGCTAGCCCAAGAACGCACCTGATGTTGTCTTTTCTTCTGCCTGGAAGAATTTGCTGGAGATGGCAGCGAGCCCGCTTTTGTAATCCTTACTGATCTGTTACTTCCTACCAAAGACCTTCCAAACACATGATAAAAATGATACAGTTTCTGTGTATCTCTTCTTTCTTTGGCATCTTTGGATTTAGCTGAGGGAAATAAAGTTATTAAAATATCATGACTCTACTGTTGATATATAAAAGCTGCACTCCTAGAGCATTCATGAGAAAGGCTTTGACAAATCCCCTGAGAAACTCATAATATTCTAATTAGAGGCTATTACTATTACAGAGATTGAGATGTGGCAATGTAAAGTAAAATTATTGAACCATATTTAAATATCATGAGATGATCCAAATTAGCATCTGTTCTTGGGGCTGGCATTGTGACTCAGAGTTAGTTAATCCACTGCTTGCAACACCAGCATCCCATATGAGCACCAGTACAAGTCCTGGCAGTTCCACTTCTGATCCCGCTTCCTGCTAATACACCTGGGAAGGCAGCTGAAGACAGTCCAAGTACTTGGGCCCCTGCCACCCATGTGGCAGATCCTGGTGGAGTTGCAGGCTCCTGGCTTTGGCCTGCCCCAGCCCAGCCGTTGTGGCCATTCGCAGAAAAAACCAGCAGATGGAAGATCCCCCCCCCCCCCCAGTAACTCTGCTTTCAAATAAATAAAACACATCTTTTTAAAAATCAAATCAGTTATTTACTTATTCATTTTATTACAACTACTAAGCATTATGGGTGCATCCATAGAGTAAGTCGAGGGTGAGATATGACCTGCTCATCCTACAGCGTATCAAAGCCACAAAAGAAAACACCTGCTCTTGGACATGGTTGCTGTCTCTGGACACAGGATCAAAAACGAAGCACATGAGCACTGCATGAACTCGGAAACAGAGTTTCTGAAAACTATACCCAAATTTGGCCAGAAACATTTGGCTACAACCACTCAGCCAGATTCTTGCTCTAGGAGAGAATGGACTCTGGAAACAAGATGTCACCAGTTCCCAGACCACTCTAAGCCTGCGGCAGCGCTGAACTCAAAGGCGTTTATCGCTGGCAACACCCATGGCCTCAGGGTGAGTGTCAGCAACTCACCCATCCACACCTACTACATATTCCACGTCCAGAAGAAATTCAGAGGCCTGAGCAGGTGTTTTTGCCAGCTTTTTATCATTAGAACAAAATACCTGAGAAAACTAACTTCAGGGGGCCTCTGCACCCACGTGGGAGCCCTGGAAGAAGCTCCTGGCTCCCGGCTTCGGATCGGTGCAGCTCCAGCCACTGCAGTCACCTGGGGAGTGAACCAGCGGATGGAAGACCCCTCTCTCTCTCTCTCTCTGCCTCTCCTCGCTCCAACTCTGCCTTTCAAATACATAAGTAAATCTTTAAAAGAAAACTAACTTCAGGAAGAAAAAAGGATTACTCTGCATCACGCCCACATTGGGCAGCCCCATGGTTCAGGCCATGCTGAGGGTCGAGGCAGGGAACGGAGCTCAGGTGGAGGAGGGCTGCAGGGCAGCTGAGCCAGGAAGCTACAGAGCAACGGGGGTCCAACCGGGCTCCAGCAACCAACCCCGCTGAGAACCACCGTCGGAAGGCAGCCCCACGCCCTCAGCATCATCACTGCATTAAGCGGGCACGTCCAGTTCAAACCACAGCTCCGCTCTCCCTCTAACTCCCCGACTGCTCTGAGGCCGTTCCTGGGACCGCGCTACGAGAACTGAACGGAAGATGCCAGAAGCCAGGAACGCAGTTCCAGCTGCTCAAGGCCCCAGCGGGCCACCCAGCCACGGAGCGCACGACGAAGGTGGAAGCAAAAATCCTTCCCCTTAAACAAGTACCTGAGCGCCAGGCTCCCCCGGGCAGACGTTTAAGCAGCCTCCCCTTGCTCTTCGGTTCTGGGAAAGACGAAACCCCTAGCGCCTCACCGACTTGTCTGACGTCACTGGGGCTCTCGGGCTGCTTCGGTCACCAGCCCTTCCCACTTCCGGTCACAGCCCGCCTCACTTCCGGTCACAGCCTGTTCCACTTCCGGCAGGACTCTCCGCATGGTTCGGGTGTGGCTAGAGTCGCCCCCAGTCCTCCCGACGGACACCTGGACACCTCCCTCCCTGCCTTTTGCTCCCAGCTGTACCACTCCCTAGAATTTTCAGTAAGGACCTCTCTCATGGCTGCTCTCATCCCGCCTCTCCCTCTGCCCTAGGAGTGCTACAAGACCAAGTCCAGAGCCCAGCACAGAGCCAAGGACAGGGACAGGGCACGCCTGAATTCAGACACTGAATACATCCAGAGATTGGCAGCACCAGTCAGGCCGCTAGTGTCCACGCCCTGAGGAATCGTACTTATGCGTCATTGGTCTTTTTCTCTGTATGTATCTGTGTATACACACCTCTATCCATTTTCCTCACCAGTTTGAAATCCAAGAAGACAAGTTTACAAACTATATTGGTTCATGGTGTCTTACCACCCAAAATAATTCTTTGGTGATTTAAATATTTTTTATTAATGAATACAATTATGAACCAATGTTTTATAACAAGTAATAAATACAATTATTAATTTTGGCAATTACAACACTATGTGCCTGATTAATATAAACACCAGGTCCTGTGAAACAATACAGTGGGGACTTTTATGCAAACCAGCAAAGAACAAAAGGAATTTCAACAATAACATATAAAGTAACTGTTGTAACAATCTAAGAAAATTAGAAAGCTAGGCACAATGACTTGGCTGCACACAATGACTTTTTTCCCCTCAATGGATTTATGAGAATTGTTCATCCTACAGAAACTAGCTTTTGCCCATTTCTGTATCTCCAAGCCACTGGAGTGCATACAGTGGTAGAGAGAGAGGAGACTGTAAGTGAGACGTCACTATCCCCAGATGAGTAATTTTTCCCTTCTACACATGATGCTTGTTTAAACAAGAAACTGCTGGAAACATTCCCTAGTATGAATTATACTCACCACTATCGCTGTTTCTTGTCCTTTCAAAATCATCACTTAGAGGTTGAGAGGAATGCCAATGTATGAGCTCATCAAACTCTCTCTTCTTAGAAAGACAGGTGATAGCTGGGTCATCACTGCGGTGGGAGGGAGGGAGTATAATTTAGAAAACACATGTGTAGGTCAGTGTTCAACTAAGACCCCCACTTGAGATGCTTGTATCCCATACCCAGGCACCTCGGTTTGTGTCCCAGCTCCCATTCTGATTGCAATTTCCTGCTAACCCACAATGGAAGGCAGCTGATGATGGGTCAAGTATACTTGTGGGAGACCTGGATTGGATTCCAAACGCCTTGCTTCCACCTGGCCAACCCCTGGTGTTGCAGGCATTTGGGGGTGAATTAGCAGAAGGAAGACCTCTCTCTCTCTCTTTCTCTCATCTCTTTCTCTCTCTGTGTGTGTGTGTGTGTCTCCCTCTCTAACTTTCAAATAAATAAATAAATCTTTTTAAAAAGCAGCGTTTTTATTTGTGGTTATGTATGTGTATTTGTGTAATATTTCAAACATAGAGAAAATATTAGAGAATAAATGATAACCATGATCTACCATGCATTCATTCATAAGACATCCATTAAGTCCTAATTATATGCCAGAAACTCTTATGGATGCTAAGACATATCAGCGTACAAAATAGAATAAAAATCTCTTCAATGAGTGTTTATTTATTTATTTTATTTGAAAGGCAGAGAGACAGACAGACAATGTGCCCACCACTGGTTACTCCCTACTGGCTGGGGCCGGCCTGGGCTAAAACTGGGAGCCAGAAATTTAATCCAGCCTCCCACACTGGGTATCAGGAATTCAACTACCTGAACCATCACTGCTGTCTTTCAGGGTGCACGGAAACATGGCACCAGAATCGGGAACAGAGCCAGGAAGTGAATCTAGGTGCTCCTAGAAGCACAGGATCATGTAACACTAGGCCAGACATGAGCCCTTTACAGAGTTCATGTGTTCACAGAGACTGACAGACAATAAAGAGATACAAAGGTAAAATACACACTGTGGTAGATGGTGCGTGATACAGATTAAAAATCACACAGAGAGACAGAGGAGGAGGAGGAGAAGGTGCCACTTAAAGCAGAGTGGTGAAGAATGCCTGGCTGAGAAGCTATGGGAGCAGAGGGTACAAAGTCGTCTGGCTCAGAACATTGCCAACCAACAGAAACACAGGCAGAAAGGCTGTGAGGGGGCCAACGCAGTGGCACAGTGCCAGCATCCCATATGGGGGCCGGTTCAAGTCCTGGCTGCTCCACTTCCGATCCAGCTCTCTGCTGTGGCCTGGGAGAGCAGTGGAGGATGGCCCGGGTGCTTGGGCCCCTGTGCCTGCATGGGAGACCCGTGGGAGGCTCCTGGCTCCTGCCTCCACATCAGCTCAGCTCTGGCTGTTGCAGTCCTTTGGAGGTGAACCATCAGATGGAGGGCCTCTCTCTCCCTCCCTCCCTCTCTTTCTCTCTGGCTCTACCTCTCTGTGACTCTGTCTTTCATATAAATAAAATAAATCTTAAAAAAAAAAAAAAAATAGAAAGGCTGTGAGCTGGGAGAGCATTGTGTACAAGGAAACAGCCGGGAGGCCAGCCTGGGAGGAGTACTCAGAGGGGGACAGATTAGGCTCAAATGAGGTTAAGGGGGCAGGGAGAGTAAGACAGAGGACAGAGCAGCAGAGTCCTGGAGTCCTTTCCATCTGAGGGAGTCAGGCTCCTTAGCAGGTTTGAGCAGGGAGAGAACAAACTGATCTCTCCCCGCAGGATGTTTGGACACCACTGTGAAGGAGATCCTTGGGGTGATGGGGGCCGATCGCACAGCTACAGGGTGAGCAAGGAAGGCCAGGCTCTGGAAGCATCTTGCAGGAACACACAGATTTCGCTGCCAGATTAGATGAGAAACAGAAAGGGAAGTCAAGGACATCGCCAAGGATGATGAGAAAAACATGGAGAGAGGAAGAGAGAATGATAGAGATGCACGGTGGGACCTCTAGGTGCCTGTGAGGTCAGTGGGCGCTGGCATTGCACACAGTGAGTTTACGGGGCCCAGGAGACAGCAACTGAGAGCAGATTCAAGATACGAGTCACGGGGTCAGTGCCGTGGGGCAGCGGGTAAAGCCGCCGCCTGCAGGGCCAGCATCCCATAATGGCGCCGGTTCAAGACCCAGCTGCTCCACTTCCGACCCATCTCTCTGCTGTGGCCCGGGAAAGCAGTGGAAGATGGCCCAAGTGTTTGGGCCCCTGCACCTGCATGGGAGACCTGGAAGAAGCTTCTGGCTCCTGGCGTCAGATCAGCCCAGCTCTGGCCATTTGCAGCCATCTAGGGAGTGAACCAGTGGACGGAAGACCTCTCTCTCTCTCTCTCTCTCTGCCTCTGCCTCTCTGTAATTCTGCCATTCAAATAAATAAATAAATCTTAAAAAAAAAATACATGAGTCACAGAATTTTCAGCCAATTCTTATCTGGTAGCTGGAGTTAAGAATTTGATACTTGCGACAGTTCATCCTCAAGTCATGAGATTGGTTGACCAAGGAGATGGCAACTCATTTTGATAACTGATAATTTTTTTCCAGGTTTGTTTCAGATTTCATTGATTTTAAAAAAATAAGAGTTGGCGCTGTGGCTCACTTGGTTAATCCTCCGCCTGTGGCACCGGCATCCAATATGGGCGCCAGGTTCTAGTCTCAGTTGCTCCTCTTCCAGTCCAGCTCTCTGTGGCGCAGGAAGGCAGTGGAGGATGGCCCAAGTGTTTGGGCCCCTGCACCCGCGTGGGAGACCAGGAGGAAGCACCTGGCTCCTGGCTTCGGATCGGGCACAGCTCTGGCCATAGCGGCCATTTGGGGAGAGAAACAACGGAAGGAAGACCTTTCTCTCTGTCTCTCTCTCTCATTGTCTAACCCTATCTGTCAAATGAAGAAAGAAAAAATAAACCACTGTAGATATATTTGAAGCCCCCTATATTTCTCAGAAATTCCATTCTTCTCTTTTTTTATGTTTATGTCTTTTTTTTTTTTTTTTGCCTTGAAAGAATCAGAGAGCGAGAGACAGAGACAAGAGACAGAGATAGAAAACAATCTTCTATCCACTGGTTTGCTCCTCAAATGCCCACACAGCCAGGGCTGGGCCAGGCCAAAGCAAGGAGCCAGAACTCCATCCAGGTCTCCCAAGTGGGTGGCAGGGACTCATGGACCTTAACCATCATCTGCGGTCTCCCAGGATGCACAGTAGCAGGAAGCAGGATTGGAAGTGCAGTGGCTGACCCTTGAACCAGGCACTCTGATTGCAGGCATCCCAAGTGGTGAGTTAAGCTGCTGCATCAAAGACTACCCCTCATTCTCTCTTCTAAGAAGCAGCTTCTTCCTTATATGTATATCATGCCCATGCACAATATAAATGTGCATACATTACAAGTAGTGTGCCCCTGGCCAGCGCCGCGGCTCAATAGGCTAATCCTCCACCTAGCGGCACCAGCACACCAGGTTCCAGTCTGGTCAGGGCGGGTTCTTTCCCGGTTGCCCCTCTTCCAGGCCAGCTCTCTGCTGTGGCCCGGGAAGGCAGTGGAGGATGGCCCAAGTGCTTGGGCTCTGCACCCCATGGGAGACCAGGAGAAGCACCTGGCTCCTGCCTTCGGATCAGCGTGGTGCGCCGGCCGCAGCGCGCCAGCCATGGTGGCCATTGGAGGGTGAACCAATGGCAAAAGGAAGAAAAGACCTTTCTCTGTCTCTCTCTCTCACTATCCACTCTGCCTGTCAAAAAAAAAAAAAAAAAAAAAAAAAAACAAGTAGCGTGCCCATAAATGATATGAGAGTCACAACACTCTCTAACTTACTTAGCTACATAAGCAGTGTGGTTTGGAAATTCACCCGTGTGGATGCGTGCATGGCTGTGTGTGTATGTATATGCAGTTATTTATTTTTACTGTGGAGTACTGCATTGTAAGAATATCCCACTACTGGGGCAGGCATTTAGCCCAGCGGTTAAAACACCCACATTGGAAATACCCAGATTCGATTCCTGGCTCCAGCTCCTGACTCTGGCTTCCTGTAAATGCAGACACTGGATGGGCAGCAGCCCAGTCCAAACCCAGTTATTGCAGGCATCTGGGGAGTGACTCAATAGAGGAGAGCTGTGTGTGTGTGTGTGTGTGTGTGAGTCTCTGTTTCTTTCTCTGTGTGTCTGTGTCCGCCTCTCAACAAATATTTTTTAGTTTATATTCTGTTCCACAATATTCTTTTCCTTGTCCTACAGATGGCTTGCATCTATATAAACAATCCTGCAGTGACACTGATGCAAACTCACCTCACTCAGAGAATCAGAGTTTCTCCAGGGAAGCTGCAGGTTGCGGACAGCACATCTTGAACCTGTGTAGCTTTTACTGGTTCTGTTTCTGCCACCACGTGCCCACTGCCTCACACCTTTGGCCTTACTTAGTCATAAATTTTATCAAAAGGAAGAGTGTTGAATAGGGCCTCGCTGTAGCTTTAATTTTCATTTCTTAGATGCACAAGGACCTTTAGATATCTTTTTACAGTTTTACGGGCCATTCCCCACTAGCTTCTCTATTAATGACCTATTTCTCCCTATTCCTCTTTCTCTACTGTCATTCCTGTCTTTCTCATGAGTTCTAGGACATCTTTATCCTAAATCTTTTATGCTAACCCTGTGATGCTTATATACCTTCTAAATGACTTCCAAAATCTGTTTTGTTATTATTGATTTTTATAATGTCAAATGTATCCTTATTTTCCTAATGACTTGGAGTTTTATACTGTCTTTGAAGGCCATGACGTCTCTACTCTGGCACCATAAAGGTATTTTCCTGTATTGTCTTCTGAAAATGTGACTGTTGTCTTTCACATTTAGATTTCTGACCACCAAGATTTGACTTATGGCATGGTGTTATGTACAGAGAGACTTTGATTTTTTATAAATATAGATATTTTAAAACATACCATTTGCAAAGTAATTTGCTACTTTCACAAGGATTTGCTTTATTCTGTCTGCCATATACACATTTACATTTGGAATTTTTTCTGCTTCCTTTGTTATCTCTTCAGTTTGGCTAATTTTTTTTTTTTTTTTTGACAGGTAGAGTGGACAGTGAGAGAGAGACAGAGAGAAAGGTCTTCCTTTTGCCGTTGGTTCACCCTCCAATGGCCGCCGCGGCCGGCGCACTGCACTGATCCGATGGTAGGAGCCAGGAGCCAGGTGCTTTTCCTGGTCTCCCATGGGGTGCAGGGCCCAAGCACTTGGGCCATCCTCCACTGCACTCCCGGGCCACAGCAGAGAGCTGGACTGGAAGAGGGGCAACCGGGACAGAATCCGGCGCCCCGACCGGGACTAGAACCGGTGTGCCGGCGCCGCTAGGCAGAGGATTAGCCTAGTGAGCCGCAGCGCCGGCCTAGTTTGGCTAATTTTTCAACCAATTATCCTCTTACTCTTGAGCCTTTAGTACACTTAACTGCTGTCTCAAGAACACCGTCCCCACTTCTACAACACGGAAACCTATGCCTCCAATGTGACACTGACAATTCTAGCAAATAAAGGTGTGGAGCAACCTTACTTCATGTTAATCCAATAATCCTGGCCAGCGCTGTGGCATAGCAGGTAAAGCTGCCATCTGCAGCACCGGCATCCCATAAGGGCACTGGTTCCATTCCCAGCTCCACTTCTGATCCAGCTCTCTGCTGTGGCCTGGGAAAGCAGTGGAGGATGGCTCAAGTGCTTGGGTCCCTGTACCCGCGTGGGAGACCTGGAAGAAACTCCTGGCTTCTGGCTTCAGATTGGTGAAATTCCACCCATTGCAGCCATCTGGGGAGGGAACCAGCAGATGGAAGACCTCTCTCTCTCTCTCTCTCTCTCTCTCTTCCCCTCTGCCTCTGCCTCTCTGTAACTCTGCCTTTCAAATAAATAAATTAATTTAAAAAAACTCCAACAACCTTCTCTGCTGAATCACCTTGTCACAGGCGCCACCAGCCCCTCCCCCAGGACCTCACCTACTCCCCAAATCCCTCCCTTTTTGTGCTGCGGCTAACGTAACCAAAATCACAATCACCACAGAACTGCCTGGAACCTATGACTGCTGACCATACCCACAACCAGTTACAATGACATCACTGCTGACACTTCACTCCCTCCACGTGCCTGACACCAGACTCTTCCAAGACTTCCTAAAAAGGCAAGTAAATGGGAGGTGCCCAAATATCGACTCTCCCCCTACCCCTAGAAAACCCTGCCCCACATAACACCTCCTAAGAATATTCTATCCTTCCCATCTCTCAATTTCATCTAAAAGAGGTAACTCAAACCTGGCTGGGTGCAGCTCACTCTCAGGTACACCTGCGCTTCCTGTTGAGTGTGTACTTTCACTTTATGGATAATCAATCTTATTCCTCTGCCAACCTTTACTCACATCTAAAGATCAAATTCTTTCTTGCATTACAGATAAGAACCTGAACCCAGCCACCCAACAATTCTCTTTGTCACCTCCTTGTTCTCACTGATCATTTTTGCTGACTTTAAGATCCACATAGATGATGTATCCAACATCAGGCCTTGAATTTTTATGGTCTTGCTACAGCCACACCTCAACAACCCACTGCTTTCATTATACTATTAATTATGATGACATTATTATGGAGAAAAAGGTAAAGATATGTAAGCAGTGTAGAGTCATTTAAAGCAAACACATAAATGTTTTTAAAATCATACCAATCAATCAAGTTGAAAAAAAAGTATCTCTCAATGTGAATTTTCACCACATACAATAGATGCAGTCCACCATACTCAAAGATATTTGGCATTGTAATCCATAAGCTGTACTTTGTAAATTTATATTCATTAAATAAAAGTTTAAAAAAAGATATTTGGTTACAGCCACAGAGCTATTACAAGCAAGATAAATACCTGCTTACAAAAGGTAGTTCGGACCAAATATCTCCAGCGTAATCTTCTATAACCTCGGATTTCAGAGGAATTAGTCCAAGCTTGGGAATTTCTTGATTTGATCCTGGCAATATTCAGAAATACAATTGATATTTGAACACTAAACTCTAATTAAAATTCACCATTCTGATGCAGGCATTTCTGCAATAGCAAAACTAAGCCTAAGTAATCTAAGTAATCTCTCATTACCAAATAAATAGAAACTGAATAGAATTTCTACAAAGTAGGCGTTCAAATCACATTTCTGCTCCACATATTAAGTCACAAATGTAAATACTCATAGGTGTAGATTTCAAAATCTGGCAAAATGTAAGTTTGTTTTAAAATTCCATTTTCCATGAACTATTTAAAGTGTGAGGATACTAAAAGATAAGTTCATTTTGGTGCAAAGTTGTTTGAAATCCCACATAGTTTTTCCCTAATACTCATTTTCCATTAATTTTTTTGAAAGCTCCTCATATCTGAATGGAGTTAGGTAGAATTTTTTTAAGAGTCAAAGAATCACTATGTAACCTAGAAAAGACAAATATTTATTCTAGACCACAGAAAGATCTCTGCTTATTTTTCCATAGGCCAAACCAAGAGAAATAAATTTGTTTAATAAAAATGTTTTAAATTTAAACATCGGTACCAAAAAGTGCATTAATTTATTTCCACATCTCGGGCTAGCGAAAATTCAAAAGAACTTTTGTATATTTCATTCAAATCCCAAACCTTTTTCTGCATGAATGGACTCATCTGATGTGTCAATCACAACACCTTAAGACCTATTTAAATTTAAGCTACTTCTTCATAGAGCTTTAGGGAAAAAGTTGCCTTTGGTAAAAAAAAGTAGTAAAGCTATGACAACGTTTTCTGTACCTGACTACGGAGACAGACAGACACGGATTCAAATCCTCTCTCTTCCATGAATTTGCTGTGTGATCTACAACAACCTTCCCAAGATCTTACCTCTAAAATGAGATTGATAATACCACCAGCAAGGTTGATTGGGAAACCAACTAGAAAAATAAATAAAAACAATCGCAAGGCAAAGGAGTTGCTAGAGGAGTAGAAGCTATTCAGTATGACTATCCCAGCCAAAAGGCAAAACTTATAAAGACCAGACCTATTTTCTAAACAAGGATTGCACTGCTAATCTCTTTCCATCTGGAATGAGATCCACTTTTAAAAAACTATTGGGGCTGGCACTGTGGTGCAGCAAGTTAAAGCTGTTTGCAACATCAGCATCTCATGAGTGCTGTTCCAGCTGCTCCACTTCTGATCCAGCTCCCTGCTAATGCTCTTGGAAAAGTAACAGAAGATGTCCCAAGTGCTTGGTCCCTGTCACCTCAGTTGGAGACCTGGATGGAGTTTCTGACTCCTCGCTTCAGCCTGGACCAGCCCAGTGGTTGCAGCCATTTGGAAAGTGAAAAAGCAGATGGAAGATCTCTCTCCTCTCCCTCTCTCTCTGTGCCATTTTGTCTTTCAAATAACAAGCAAATCTTTTCTAGCAAACTGTCAGCACCTTTAGGCAATGTTTCCTTCTGTGTAAGGAACAGTCTGGAAGTTGTCCTCACGGGCATGGAGTCTCCAAAGTCACCACCCTCTGACAAGGCTAACGTTGTGTTCCACAGCTTGTGATATGCGTGCATCAGAGCGTCACCCAATTCCAAGTCCAGTCCTAGGGAGGAGAAGGTAACAGATTCCAATTCATAATCAAAGTCTGAATTTATGTGTTACAGGTGTCTGAGTTATTCAAGTTTATAGTTACTAGCTTCTAATGTTAGATGCTTAATGCAGGACAGAATATGATGTTTTCATTACGTACTCAATATTTGAAGACTGCTAGAGCAAAAATAAAATTGATACTGCTATTGTTATATTTTTCTGCCACAAAAAAAAGCAGGGAGCAGCATTGTGGCACAGTGGGTCAAGCTGCCACTTGTGATACTGGCATCCCATCCTGGACACCTGTGATACTGGCATCCCATATTGGAGCACTAGTAGGAGTTCCGGCTGCTGCTTCCCATCCAACCTCCTGCTAACACTCCTGAGAAAGGAGCAGATGATGGTCCAAGTGCTTGGGCCCCTGCCACCTGCATGGGAGATCCAGGTGGAGCTCCAAGCTCCTGACTTTGGCTGGGCCCAGCCCTAACCATTGTGGCTATTTGGAGAGTGATCCAGCATATGGAGACACACACACACTCTCTCTCTCTCTCTCTCTCTGCTCTCGCTCTCACATGCACACATGAGTGAGCATCCTTCAGAAAATGCTCCAAGCTGGTACGCCACTTCAGTTTCCATGGGAACAACATCTTATCTGAAGCAGCCAGCAGCAAAGCTACATTGTCATTTTCCAACACATACACAATATCTGGTGTAGGAGGGTTCTTCAAAAACTGCATGGAAAAATGGAACTAAAAGTTGATTCTGGTGCAAAAAAGAATTGAAATCTATGCATAAGGTGTTCTTCATACTCATTTTCCACAAAGTTTTTGGAGATTCCAGAAATTTTTATACCAAAATCAACTTATTTTATTATACTTTACTTCTTGCATTTTTAATTAACATGCAATACTTGCACAGCATTATGGTGCATGGTGCAATATTTCAACAGTGAAAGCTGATCAAATCGGGAAATCAGCATGCCCACCTCCAGCTCCTCTCCACACTGTGCAATGCGTTATTATGGGCTACGGTCTCTCCCTGTGCTGTGCAACACTAGGACCAGTTACTTCTGTCTAGTGGGGTTTTAGACCCTATAGCCAACCTCCCTCTAATTCCCTCCCTCCATCCCCTCCAAGCACTACTGGTCACTATTCTAAGTTCAGATAGTCTCTTTTTCTTTTCCTTCCACATAAGAAAGAAGATGTGGCATTTAATTCCATTATCCATGAACACTTTGAAGCACCTCATATGGAAGACACAGAATAAATTACAACTCCGTAGTTCCTTTCCATTTATCTTCCTTTTTTTCCCCAAGTAACTAATCAATTACCCATAATTATTCAAAAAAAAAAAAAAAAACTCTTATAAAGACCTCTCAACTGAACCTTGTGAAAATACAGACTTTCCAGGCCGGCGCCCGCGGCTCACTAGGCTAATCCTCCACCTAGTGGCGCCGGCACACCGGGTTCTAGTCCTGGTCGGGGCGCCGGATTCTTTCCGGTTGCCCCTCTTCCAGGCCAGCTCTCTGCCTGTGGCCAGGGAAGGCAGTGGAGGATGGACCAAGTGCTTGGGCTCTGCACCCCATGGGAGACCAGGAGAAGCACCTGGATCCTGCCTTCGGATTAGTGCGGTGTGCCGGCCACAGCGCCAGCCGTGGCAGCCATTGGAGGGTGAACCAATGGCAAAGGAAGACCTGTCTCTCTCTCACTATCCACTCTGCCTGTCAAAAAAAAAAAAGAAAAAAAAAAAGAAAAAAGAAAGAAAAGAAAGAAAGAAAGAAAGAAAAGAAAAAGAAAGAAAGAAAGAAAGAAAGAAGAAAGAAAGAAAGAAAGAAAGAAAGAAAGAAAATACAGACTTTCCACAGAAAATATCTTCAGGGTGGTTGGCCAGCATCCCACAGAAAATATCTTCAGGGTGGTTGGCCAGCATCCCATATGGGCGCCAGTTCAAGCCCCAGCTGCTCCACTGCCAATCCAGCTCCTGATACTGGCCTGGGAGAAGCAATATAAGATGACCCAAGTCCTTGGGCCCCTTCCACCCACACGGGAGATCCAGAAGAAGCTCCTTGCTCTGGGCTTCAGCCTGGCCCAGACTGGCCATTGCAGGCATCTGGGGAGGGAACCAGGGAACCAGTGGATAGAAAATGTTCTCTTTCTCTCTCTCCCTCTTTCTCTCCCTCTATAACTCTGACTTTCAAATAAATACATCTTTTTAAAAAAAACATATCTTCAGAGAAACTTTTTATGTAATTCAACCTAATTGATGCATGACTAACCTCTGTCATTATTATTAGATACAATTCTCATTCAGGCATGGACAATGAATTTAAAAAACTATTTAATGAACAGCTATTTAAAACATACCTCTGTGATACTCAATTTCATAATAATAAGCAATTTTTCCATAAAATATTATCAGTTAAGTCAGGGAGGCCGGTGAAATCCACACTCCAATTATTTGTAACTTTTAATTGTTTTAGGATGAGAAATTCACATTGTTTTAGCTGGAAAAAATACAAAAGGACAAAAGAGAGAGAGGAACAGGTGTTAATGATATAAAATCTTCCAAAATGTGACTGTGTCAATTAAGTTTCCCTGAGCATCATCTACTCCTTGTACAAAGACAAAGGACATACAGTGAAGACCAAGAGCTTAGAGCCAGTTACCTTCTTCGGTCCATCCCATTGCAAAATAACAAGGGCAATATCCAAGGGGTCTTCAAAAAGTTTGTGGAAATTCACGATACCTTGTAGTTCCATGAAATTTTTAAAAAATATTTATTTATTGTGCTCGCTTCAGCAGCACATATACTAAAATATTTATTTATTTATTTGAAAGGCAGAGTTACAGAGAGGCAGAAGCAGAGAGAGAGAGAGAGAGAGAGAGGTCTTCCATCCACTGGGTCACTCCCCAGATGGTCACAATGGCTGGAGCTGCACCAATCCAGGAGCCAGGAACTCTTTCAGGTCTCCACGTGGGTGCAGGGGCCCAAGGACTTGGGTATTCTACTGCTTTCCCAGGCCATAGAAGAGAGCTGGAGGAGTGGAGGGAGCAGCCAGGACTTGAACCGGCATCCATATGGGATGCTGGCACTGCAGGTGGCAGCTTTACCTGCTACACCACAGTGCCAGCCCCTTTCCATGAACTTTTTGAAAAACCGTGTATAACCTTTGAGGTATTTTTCAGTGCTAACATTAATTTTTTCTTCTGAACTCATCCCAATCATAATTTCAATAAATACTTCCTCATTGATTCGAACTAATAAATATATAAAAGTAGTGGGCATTTAACTGCTTTACTACAGATTTACAATTAAAAGCTATTTATGGTATCATTTCAAGAGTTAGGTCTATGGGGCCTTTACTAGGCATCCCATATGGGTGCTGGTTGAAGTCTCAGACACTCTTCTCCAATCCAGTTCCCTGCTGATGCACCTGGGAAAGCAGTGGAAGATGGCTCAAGGGCCGACACACTGTGGCGCAGTGGGTTAAAGCCCTGGCTTGAAGCACGGCATCCCATATGGGCACCTGTTCGAGTCCCGGTTGCTGCTCTTCCGATCCAGCTCTTTGTTATGGCCTGGGAAAGCAGTAGAAGATGGCCCAAGTCTTTGGCCCTTGAACCCACATGGGAGACCCAGAAGAAGCTCCTGGCTTCAGTCTGGGCCAGCCCCCACCATTGTAACCATTTGGGGAGTGAGCCTGTGGAAGAAAGATCTCTCTCTCTCTCTCTCTCTCTCTCTGCGGCCATTTGGGGAGTGAACCAGTGGATAGAAGACCTCTCTCTGTGTCTCTACGTCTCTCTGTAATTCTGTCTTTCAAAGAAATAAAATAAATCTTAAAAAAGAAGTGAGATCGGCCAGTGCCGCGGCTCACTAGGCTAATCCTCTGCCTAGCGGCGCTGGCACACCGGGTTCTAGTCCGGTCGGGGTGCCGGATTCTGTCCCGGTTGCCCTCTTCCAGGCCAGCTCTCTGCTGTGGCCAGGGAGTACAGTGGAGGATGGCCCAGGTGCTTGGGCCCTGCACCCCATGGGAGACCAGGAGAAGCACCTGGCTCCTGCCTTTGGATCAGCGCGGTGCGCCGGCCGCAGCGTGCCAGCCACGGCGGCCATTGGAGGGTGAACCAACGGCAAAGGAAGACCTTTCCTCTGTCTCTCTCTCTCACTGTCCACTCTGCCTGTCAAAAAATAAAAATAAAAAATAAAAATAAAAATAAAAAAAAGAAGTGAGATCACAACTAACTACATAAAAGCATCAAACTGTGCTAAGTACAAAAAACCAAGGTTTTCAAATTTTCCTAAATTTCCTAAGAACTTACAAAGGACTTTTGTATTCCTGTCGTCTCTGTTTCAACTGGCTACGAAGTGTGAAACGCAATGAATGTAAGTTCTTTATTCATTACTTCACTATTTATATATACTCATTAGAGTTGTTTCTCAATGAACTCTTCAGTGTGGGGGTTGTTTTATACTAGGGAGGACTACATTTTTGTATGGAGTGCTTTATCTAGGACTCAGTTTTTCAAGGAAACATGCATTGTTTGTTGGTAGCCATGTTGAAGATGGATACAGGAAACAAAGAACCTTTTAAGATGACTATAGAAAGCAAAACAGCATCAGTAGAGACACAGGATTGCACCGTCCAAGTTTTGCCTTATTGAATTTTGAGCGCTTATGAATCTCCAGGTGGTTCACTTACCATTCTTAGAAATGGGGAGAAAGTGTTGCATCCCATTTATGAGTAATGATTCTACTCTTAGCTCTTTGGATCAGAGGTAAATGCTGAAGGAAAATCACACTGAGACAGTACATTCGGCACAGGTCTGCTGCTTCACTGAGTGTGGGTGCCTCCTTCAAATCCTGGAAAAACATGAATTTTTAAAATGTCCACTTGCACAGGCAACATAAAAATTCAGATACAAAGGTGGGCCTTTGGTGCACGGGTTGAGTCTGCTTGGACACCTACATCCCGTAACAGGTGTCTAGGATGGAGTCCCAGCTTTGCTTCCAAGACCAACTTCCTGCTAACACCCAACCTCCTAACGTTAAGACCCCAGGTGATGACTGCCATTCAGCTGGGAGAACCACACTGAGATCAGAGCCCTGGCTTCAGCCTGGCCCAGTCCTGCTGTTGTGGGCATTTGAGAAATTAATTGGCAGATGGGCTCGCTTGCACTTGCTCATGTTCTCTCTCTGCTCTCCCTTTCAAAAATAAAAACAAAGAAAGAAAAAATTTTAAAGAGAAAAATACAAACAAGAAGTCAAATTTTCTTGAAAAAATTCAGACATGCAGTAACAATATTTTAAGGCACCTTACCCAAAATTCTCCCATGTGACGATTTAATTCTTTGGGGGTAATTTTATCTCTAGAAAAATTCTACTAAGCATGTGATGGATGAAAAACAACACAACTAGCTGTGTTGCCTAGGAGTGAAAGCTTTGCCTAATACATGGAGTTCCGAAATTCACTGTATCTAAACCTTGCATTTGATAAAATGGTAGGGGATGGCCTCTGTTTAAGGACATGTCCAGCAGCCAGTTATTCATGTCCTCAAGAGCAGAAGTACAGGGGTTGCAGAAAAGCTGCTTCCTGTCACACCTGTTCCTATGTAGAACCAGGGCTGAGCATGGCTGTGATCTATACGGTAAAGCAACGTAGCAGAACAGAAAAGGAAAAAATGGGTTGCATCCAGCTCTGCCCCGAGTAGCTGCTTGACTTTTATTACCATGTAGTAGACCACCAAGAACAGTAAAAAGTTGGTGACTGCATGCCCACTACAGCAAGGATTGACAAGTAATTCAGACTCTACTAGCTCACTACTGTTACAAATAGGAGCAACCTTATCATTACAGAAAACGTGATGCTGAGCCACAAAGTGGACAGTGGGCTCATCGTCAGGTCCCACTGCCTATCGGCTTTGACAAATGCTAACTTCTGTGCAATGTCACCACGTATGCATTGAAACTGGCCCAGGAGATTGCAAGCAGCAATGATGACCAGCTCTGAGCCAGGGGACAAAAGATATTTGTCCTGTGATCAGAGATGAAAGAGGTGACAGATTCATCTCAACTATCTATAAAGAATCTTGCCAGCTTTCATAAGAATGAGATCATAATGATATCTCCATGCTTAGCCAGCAAACATGTGATCCACACGTCGTATTTTCTGTTTGACCTTGAGCTTATGCATAGGGCCACCACCCACAAGCACTGTCACATCATCAAAAGTGGCATGAGACGGGCTCATTGGTTTTGAAGGAGTCTCACCTGTGTATCACTGTTTTCTGTGTATGTGTTTGGGTTTTCACGGTCTTCTAAATCTAGTAACATTTTTTTGTAGAGCTTTAGTGCCACCGAACATGAAACGGAGCAGACAACACCTCGGATTTCAGCTCCTTGTGGCCACAGGTCCTGAAGCAAGGACAGGGTTTGATGCACCTGAAATAGAACACTTTGTCAAAAAAAAACAAAAAAAAACAGTGATTCCAAGAAACAAGATTCAAAGCTGACATAGTAATTAATTCTAGAAAAATACTGAAATTTTATCTTTCAAAAACTTAAAGAAAAACATATAAGATAGGCCTGCGGAACTTGGAAAATGATGCTGAGCCGGTATTTAATAAGGCCCTAAGTGACATTTTAATATGAACAACTTTCTCCTGCTGATCTACAGGCCATGGCAAATCCACAGGTCTCTGTGTGATTAACCTGTGGATTCTTCAGTGTTGTCAGCCCAGACACTTCCCAGGGGCCAGTGAAGACACTGAGATGCATGGCATACACACTGCTAACGATCAACAGCTCTACTCCCATAAACTGATACGAACGACTGCTACCAAAGGCGTGATCACGAGAACCCTTGTATTTTGGGGAAAGTTGCAAAGGCGCGATAAATCACAGCGCTCAGCAAGAGATGCAGACAGGAGCAGACGGGGGCGATGGAGACAAGATGTTTATCTGAGTCCGTGGTGAGGCATCAGGATTTGAACCAGGAGACGCAACACCTAAAAGCTTGAAACAGTCATTGAACAAGTCACCTGGTCTCAATTCTTTCACTTAAAGACGTCAGTTCAGTGTACATGCTATGTCGGGTCTCACAGGGGCTTTACACTAAGACTGAAAAGAGCACCCCCAGGGAGTTCCGAGCAGGAGAGCATCAGCACACATAGGCTGCCCTTTGAAATCAGAGGAACTCAGAGGATGAAATCGGCAGCCCTATTTCTACTCGGTGTGCTCCTGGGGGCTAAGGAGCAGGGGAGGG